ATGTCTATCGTCCCATCGATCTGAACAAACTTTCTGCTTATTACATATAGTTTGCTATTTTATTTATTTATTAAAAATGTTACTTCTTTCTTTTTAGTGAAAAAAAGAAGGCAGGGATAGAGAGAGGGAGAGAAATATCAATATGTGGTTGACCCTTGTGTGCTCTCTACTGGGGGCCTGGCCCACAACCCAGCCGTGTACCCTGACTGGGAATCGAACCTGCAACCCTTTGGTTTGCAGGCCAACACTCAATCCACTGAGCCACACTAGCCAGGGCTATTTTTTTTTTTTAAATGGGGAACCTGTAATGTGAACTGTAGTGGAGGGTACAATATAGGAAGGCTATTTTCTAAAATTTTTTATTTATTTTCAGAGAGGGGAAGGGAGTGAGAGAGGGACAGAAACATCAACATGAGAGAGAAACATCAATTGGTTGCCTCTGGTATGTGCCTGGACCTGGGACTGAACCTGAAACCCAGGCACGTACCCTGACCAGGTTCAAAATGGTGACCATTTGCTTTGCGGGACGTAGCCCAACCAAGACACTTCTTATCAGGGCTGTTAGGAACATTATTGCAGTTGTCTTTTGGTACACATAGTACAGCACCTTTTATATCCTTCAATTTTAACACTTTTGCAATATATTGCAATTATTATATTATATATTTGTTTACCACACTAGTGTGAATTCCCTGAGGGGCTTCGTACCCTCAGTGTCAGTTACATCACCCAGGACATAATAGGATTTTTAAAGTGGTCATAAAGGAAAGAGCACATAAAAGAATCCTTTTACCGTTATTTAATATTTATTCATTGTATTTTTAAAATTTTTTTTATTGTTCAAGTACAGTTGTCTCCATTTTCCCACCACCACTTTCCCCTGCCCCACCCACCCCCACCTCCCACCCTCAATCCTTCCCCACTTTGGCTTTGTCCATGGGTCCTATATACATGTTCCTTGACTTGACCCCTCCCCTTCTTTTCTCCGTTATCCGTCCTTTCTTCCCTTTCGTTACTGTTGATTTTTTCTTTCAATGTTGCTGGTTATATTTTTCTTGCTTGTTTGTTTTGTTGATTAGGTTTCATTTATAGGTGAGACCATATATTTGTCTTTTACTCCCTGGCTTATTTCACTTAGCATAATGCTCTCCAGTTCCATCCATGCTGTCGGAAAGTGTAGGAGTTCCTCCTTTCTGCTGCATAGTATTCCATTGTGTAAATGTACTGTAGTACACTTATCCACTCATTTATTGATGGGCACTTAGGCTGCTTCCAATACTTGGCTATTGTAGATTGTGCTGCTACGAACATTGGGGTGCATACTTCTTTTGAATTGGTGTTTCAGGATTCTCACGGTATAATCCCAGCAGTGGGATGGCTGGGTCAAAAGGCAGTTCCATTTTTAGCTTTTTGAGGAAATTCCAAACTGTTTTCCACAGTGGCTGCACCAGTCTGCATTCCCACCAACTGTGTACTAGGGTTCTCTTTTCTCCACAACTTTGCAAGCACTTGTGTTGGTTTGTTTATGATGGCCACTCTGACCAGTATGAAGTGGTATCTCATTGTGGTTTTAATTTGCATCTCTCCAATGGCTAGTGATGCTAAGCATCCTTTCATACGTCTCTGGGCCCTCTGTATATCCTCCTTGGAGAAGTGTCTGTTTAGGTCCTTTGCCCATTTTTCAGTTGGACTGTTTGTCTTCCTGGAGTAGAGCTGTGTGGGTTCTTTAAATATTTTAGAGATGAACCTTTGCCCAAGGTATCATTGGCAAATGTTTTCCCATACAGTTGGTTCCCTTTTCATTTTGCCAATGTTTTCATTAGCTGTGCAGAAGCTTATTTTGATGAAGTCTCATTTGTTTATTTTTACCTTTATGTCCCTTGCTCTAGGGGGACATTCAGTGAAATTATTGCTGCATCGAATATCTGAGACTTTCTTGCCTATGTCCTCCTCTAGGACGTTTATGGTATTGAGACTTAAATGTTTAAGTCTTTTATCCATCTTGAGTTTATTTTTGTGCATTGTGTAAGTTGGTGGTCTGGTTATGTTGTTTTGCATGTAGCTGTCCAGCTCTAACACCATTTGTTGAAGAGGCTATTTTTACTCCATTTTATGCTTCTGCCCATTTTGTTGAATATTAATTGACCATAGATATGGATTTATTATTTTTCAGCTCTCTATTCTGTTCCATTGATCCATGTGCCTGTTCTCATGCCAGTATGAGACTGTTTTGATTACAGCGGCCTTGTAATATCGCCATTGTATTTCTTAAAACTGATAAATGTACTATTTTACCCTTCTTATGGTCAAGTGTAAGAAGTGGGCCTATTCTTAGAATGCTTTACTCATTGTGGCTATCATTTTGTAATATGTACAAATACTGAATCATTATTTGTACACCTGAAACTAATATAATGGTATATTCAACTATATCTCAATAGAAGTGCTTCATATGAGGCACTGTACTGAAAGTTCTGAAAGACAGTAGTATCCCATATACTTTTTTAGATGCCTCTTTATTTTACTTTTTCTGTGTTCCATATATTTTTCTTTTTTTTTAATTTTATTTATTTTTATAGAGAAGAGAGGGAGAAGAAAAGGAAGACAAACATCAATGTGTGGTTGCCTCCTGAACACACTGCACAGGGAACCCAGCCCACAACCCAGACATGTGCCCTAACTGGGAATTGTACCACAGATCCTTCGGTTTGCCAGCTGATGCTCAATCCACTGAGCCACACCAGCCAGGGCCCATATATTTTTAAATATTTATTTTTTAAAGAGATAGGAGGGAGAAAGAGAGGGAGAGAAACGTGATGTGAGAGAGAAACAGATTGGTTGCCTTCTCATGCCCCAACCTGAGGAAGGAACCTGCAACCCAGGTCTGTGTCCCTACCAGGAATCCAACCAGTGACCTTTTGGTTTGCAGGAAAATGCCCAACCAACTGAGCTACACTGGCTAGGACTCCATATATTTTAGTTCATATTTGAAAGGCACTTTGGGATCTGATTCAATTCATATTCATTACATTTTAGCAGAAGTTATCACATCTAAAACAGAATACTTATATGAAAAAACTACTTTTTAAATACCTAAACATTAATAATCTCAATTTTCTTTCTTCTTATGCTTATTTCCTTGACTGGAAATGTATACTACCAGCAAATGGAAATTCAACAGAAATCATCAGCTGGAAATTCTTAATGATTATTACCTTTAGACCAACATACTGTAAATCAGCTTATTACAGAAGCTTAATAAAGTTGTCAAAATTAAAACCTAGATTATAAACACCTAAACCCTTTTAAAAGTATGCATGATCGAGTAGATTGAAATTGAAAAGAATGTTTAAGAAGAGTAAGCAGTACATATTAAACAGTCTTCCTAGTTTGAGTAAATTAAAAAAATTTTAGTTTCTGTGTTCTGTTGAAAGTCCAAGATTTAACATGTTTTTGTTTGTTTGTTTTTGTTTTTGATGGTGGGAGGGTTGACTGGCTCCTAGTTCTGCTACTGAGTTGTGGGGCCTTCAGCAAATCAGCTAACATAGTCATTCCTATGTCTCATACGATAGGCAAATACCCGGCACTAAGTAAGCCATAGTACTACCTGACGGCACTCTGCTTTGTTATACATAATCTCAAAGTTAGTACGCAAGAAATTAGACCCCAATTTTTTGACTCCGGCCTCGCCACACAAAGACACCTGTAACAAGCAACACTGCGCGTTCCTCCGGCTGAAGCGAACGTGGTCTCGAGAATTTGCAGAGTGCAGGGAAGTAGGAAGGAGGGATTTCCGCCGCAACCGCTCAAGCGCTAGCCGGATCAAGCCCAACCGGAACAGGTGGGAGGAACGCCCTTCGGGAGGAGGTGTCCGGAAGCGCCAAGTCGGAGAGACTACATTTCCCACAAGTCCTCGGGACAGGGTGTGGGGCGGGCATCAGGGACATTACCGGACTGGCCTTGCCGGGCAATACCAAGGTAAATACCGGCACTGCGACTCCGAGGGAAGTGTAACTTAGAGTCTGTGCCTAGATTTGTACTAGTAACCCTCCTAACCCTCCCGAACTGACAAAAACGATCTAGTGACTTTGGGGTTTCAGGGCCGCAGGACTCCAACCCCACGATCCATATCAGTTACCCCACAATGGGCCTGGGGGCGCTTCCTAGAGGCCTTCGTATGCCGGACGTTGTGCTAAAAGGGTGAAGGTTCAGGTACCCCTTTCTAGAGTTGGCGATCCGTACAAATTCCTCGTTCACCCCTCCCCTGCGCTCTGTCTCCTATTAAATGGGGGTGGAGCTGGGCTGTGCTCAGCTCCCTGCGACTTGGTGTTAGAGGTGGTGCCGGGGAAGGTGCTTTTCTTCCCCCCGCCAGGCTAGTAGTGGGCGACCTCCCCTTTCCTTCCTTTGGTTTTTGTTTGGACGTCTTTGCCTCGAGCGGCTAAAGCGCTCGAAGTCTTGCGAGCCAAGCACTGCGGAACACCATCCAGCATACTTAGGTCCTTTTATCTACCCTTTGAGGTGATAAAGATTGCCATCGGAGAAGCTAAGTTAATTTGACCTAGGTCGCAGAACTTAAATGTCAGAATTTAAGGTTCGCACTAATCCTCTCCGGATCTAAACCCCTTTGCTTACGTCCCATCATCTTCCTCTAGCCTTAACCTAACAGAGGGCAGGCCCTGGTGACCAATATTTTGTTTTTGTTTTTGTTTTTTTTGCCAGCGGTATCGACGCCCACCTTTGGGCCCAGGGGAAGCAACCCGCGTCGCAGGTGAGCTGCGCTGGTGCGGACACATCTCTCCGGTGTTGAGCACGGGTCCTCTGGCGATCCATCTCACTTCTCGTTTCCCCTTTCTCCGGCCCTTCTCGGGGCACCGACGGACAGCTGTCTTTAACTCTGCGGTCCCCAGGCGGGTGGGTGGAGTTTGCTGCGAGGCAGCGGCAGCGAGTGGGTCCTCGGGTGGCTCCGGGGCGGGGCTGTGGGGAGTTCGCGGAGGGACTGAGAGACCCGGACGCGATGGGGGGTGTGGCTGCTCCGCGAGGATCCTGCGGGTGGGAGAACGGCTCCGCGACCACCCGTGGACGGAGCCCCTCCGCCTTTTGCTAGAGATGGTCTTCCTCTCGGTGAGTTCTGTCTTCGCGGGCTGGCTTCTCGGCTTGGTCACGCCCCCGGGAGGAGGAAGGAGCCGGGCCACCTAGGTCTCTGTGGCCTGGATAGGGCAGGGGAACTGACCAGCTGCGCTCCTAGGCCTCCTCCCTTTGGGCATGTTGATCCGCGGCTGCGCTTCGTGTTCTAGTTTCATGCAGGCTCTTGGGAAAGCTGGTGTTGCTGCTTCCTGATTCCAGCCAACAGACCTTGGGACCGAGACTGGCGCTGGCGGCTGGAGATGGCGGACAACAGATCCGTGCATGAAACCAGGTTTGAGGCGGCGGTGAAGGTGATCCAGAGTTTGCCGAAAAATGGTACGTGCACTGGGGCCCCCGCTGAAGAAACCTGCAGAGGCCTGAGGTTCCGGTTCATGAACCTTACCTCCTTTAACCTTTCTTCTTTTACTCTTGCTTATTTAACCTACTTCTTTTCTGCGTTTAAAAGGAATGTAAGTAAAGGGAGGCATCAACTGTGATTTAATTCCCTGCTGATCTTTCAAGCCTGAGACAAATATGTTATCCAGATTTTAAGTCCTTTATATTGTTGAAAACCAAAGTCTTGTTTCTTATTAACTGCAGTTTTGGGTGTGATGAAAAACAACTGGAATAGGCTGCCTGGTGCTGCACACTCAAAAAGTCTATTATTTAAGCCTTTTGAAAACTTTTGATAAGAAGGGAGAGAGAGGAAAGAACAACTACATTCATTTGTAAAATGATTTATTTTAATAAATATATATTTACTGTTTTTGCTGTTGTACTAGTTTTTTTTTTTATACTAATATTGGATCTAGCAGGAAAGTCATTCACGTTCTTTTATATTTAATGTGTCATTTCTGTAGCTACTTAGATTTTTCTCTGTTACCTTTGATTTTCTGCAGTTTGACTAGGATGTATCTAAGTATGGTTTTCTTCATATTTATCCTCTTTGGAGTTTGCGGTACTTTTTGAACTTACAATTTTATGTCTTTGACCAATGTCGGGAAGTTTAAGGCCATTATTCAAATTTTTTTTTTTCCCCTGTGGAGAAGCTTAGAGAGGGGGACTTTCATTTTTTACTTCATATCCTTCTGCAATAATATATGAAAAACTAAACCTGCATTTAAGTGATGCTTTTAAGTGCCATTATTGTGCCAGAATGTAATACTAACAGTCCATTAATTAATGTATGACTATAGTATTTAATACTATGTTCTCTATTTGTATTAATCATTTGGCCGCATATTGAATATTCAACACCATTGAATAAAAATGAAGTGCAGATTCAAAACATTTGGAACATATACACAAAATAATATTTTCTTTGTAATCTTCAAACAGAATTGGAGGAGGACATGTGGGGGATTGAAAGATAGGAGTAAACAAAACATAAAGAAATATTATAGAAACATATTTAGGTGTTGAGTTTTTAAAAGCCCAGTTAAAAGGGTTTATGGAAATGCATGATTCTTAGAGTTTTGTGTAAGTTGTACCTTTATCTTTTCCTCTAAACTACGTGTTTTAATATATTTTTGGAAACTGATAAAGCTAGACTTGATTTCACTAGTCTACTTCCTACCGTGGATGACATTACGTGTCACTTATTTTTGTTTTTTTCTTTTTTCTCTTTTTATGTTTGTTTTTTAAAAATTTACATATCACTTTTTAGAAACCCATGCAAATGTAAATAAAGTTTCTGTTATGTAACATTTAGGAAGGTATTGCAAAGTTAAGATGCCCTGCCAAATGGCACCTGTGTTGGACAATGTTTAGAATACCATTATTCCCTGGAACTAAACTGATATTAATTGAGGCAGAACTATTGTTATAGTGAATTATTAAATATTTTTACATTACTTTTAAATTGTTTAGTATGCCCTGAACTGCTTTGCAAAAAGTAAGATTTTATAACTTCTTTCCTTTTTGCTTAATCTGTATTTAAGGACTAAGGTTATAATGAATCCTGTAGCATCTGTGTTTGGTATTCTCTTGGCCTTCAGAAGTTTAAATTCTTCGATAATATTTTAAACACATGCATCAAATTTATTATGTATGAGCACCTTGAGGACAGAAATTATACTTTAATCCAGTGTTTTACTAGAATACATTTCAACATATGATTTCAGTTTTTGCTGTAATCTATGCTAAAGTATATATCATCTACCTTAACCAATAAACTTTTACATTTTATTTGATTAACTTCTTGAGGGTATTATAAAATGAGGCTTTTGATGTTTGAATTTTAGATTTTTGTTGCTTAAATAGATAACCATTTTTAACTGTAGTATTTTCATTTTTTTCCCTTTGCTATATAAAGAAGCACTCTATCATTGAAATAGTGTATCTAATGGATACTCTTAAATGAGCATATGTTACGTAGATGATGATTATTGTGGTTTTGAAATTAATTATTTACTCTTGGCCAAACCTGAAACATCAGCTCTCATCTTGTGTGTTTTGTAATTTTCTTGTTTATATACTATCAGCTTTTGGTTATTACATGTTTTCTGTTTATTATATAATGTATAAAGTTTTAAAAATAGATTTTTACAGTATTTATTTTTATAATTACTGGTATAAAAGTAATACACACTGAAAGTAAATTTATAAAAATATCTTACCTGAGGATATGTTGATTGGTTTTAGAGAGAGAAGAGAGAAAGATCAATCAGGTGCCTCCTGTAGGCACCCTGATGAGGGTTTGAACCCACAGCCTAGGCACATGCCCTGACTGGAACTGAACCCGCAAACTTTTGGTGCATGGGATGACACTCCAACCAATTGAGCCACCTAGCCAGGGCTGAAAGTAAATATTTTTAAAACAAACAAGGGAAAAGGAAAATAAAAATAATCTGTATGCCTACTATACAGAGAGATCGTCTTTTAACTATTTGATGTGTTCTACTATATTTTTTATGTATTTAACTACTTGCTTTGCAAAAATGGATTGTGCTGGATAGGCTGTTTTTAAACTGCTGTTCCACTCTTAGTTTATAGTAGATCATGAAACTTTTCTCATGCTATTATTAATATTTTTTCTATAATTTTTAAGGGTTATACTTATAAATTATCATATGCTAGAAGGGTCTCATATTTATTTAGCCAAGTACTTATTATAAAATATTTACAGTCCAATTTTTTCTTTGTTATTGAGTATTGCGCTTGTTTATACAAATTGAAAATTTTAAACATAAAGAGGTTTTAAATATGCAAAAACACATATGAAGACTGTTCTTTAAAGAAATTAATGGGTCCAAAATTACAGAGGTAGGAAGTGAGAAATCGATTTTATCTTGGATTAATTCTTTTTCAACCACAGTACACTCTGGTTGGATTTAGTCAAAGTTCCTTAGCCATTGAAAAATTGAAGTTTGGCCAAGAAGAGTTGAATTTCTTTTTTCTTTTCTTTCTCATCTATTGCCTTCTTTCTTTCTTTTGGAGTTGAATTTCTTACTGTTACAATTTTATTAAGCAGAGTAAACATTTAACTCTATCATTTGTGCTAGTCACTTATGGTTTGTTACAATCTTTGAATAAAAAAGCCTTATTACAGTTGTGTAATACAATTATTATATATTTTAATATACTTGTGTTTATAAATGATATTTGCCAGTTATTTTGGTTACACCTAGGGCATGTTTGTTCATTTATTCTTTTATTTATTGAATTGTGTTTGGCATTGTTATTAAAGTGTAAAATCTCAGAGTTGTTGTTTTTTAATTGAAAGAGTAGTACAACTAACAGAACTATAACATTTGTTTTTATAGGATAGAAATAAATAATTATCTGAAGTATTAATGAGATATTAAAAAATCACAATTTGTATAACTCAGCAACTTTGCAGCCATATAGTATTAATTGTATTCTACAAGTCATCCTTATTTAATGTTTGTTTCCAATAGGTTCATTCCAGCCAACAAATGAAATGATGCTCAAGTTCTATAGCTTCTATAAGCAGGCAACTGAAGGACCCTGCAAACTATCAAGACCTGCATTTTGGGATCCTATTGGAAGATATAAATGGTAATTCTATATAGAAAGCTATGAAGGAAATTTTATTGTAATGATTGTTATGTATATGGTTATATGTTATTCTGTACATAAAATGTTCTGGGTATAGGATACAATTTGTATCCTCCATGTGCTCTTAACCCAGTTTCACACAAATAGGAAAGTCTTGGAGAAGAGAGGAAAGCAATAAAACCAAAAGGGGTAGTTGCCTCAGAGATAATAAAGCCTTTTCCTTTAGCCTTTCCTTTTTTGGAGTTTTTCTTTTTATTATGCCAAGACCAACTCCCAAACAAAGTCGAAGAAACAAAACAAACTCTTCTGCCTCTTCGACCTGACATGAAAAATAATGACTTTTGCTTGTCAAGTGGTATTGTTTGCTTTGAGAATTTAAAATAAAAAGTAACTAGGAACATAACTCAGGCACTGTCATACTGACATTTTATCTAAGCCGTCTCTCCTGTCCTATTATACTTGAATAAAAATTTGATTTTTAATATACTTATGAGAATCATAATATATCCAGAGATACCTTTAGATATATTTTTCCAATTGTCTAAATTTGATGGTTTGTTTTTTTAAAGGTACCTGACATTTAAGATTTTATTTATTTATTTTCAGAGAAGGGAAGGAAGGGAGAAAGAGAGGGAGAGAAACATCGATGTGTGAGAGATATGTTGGCCTGCAACTCAAGCATGTGTCCTGACCAGGGATCGACCGGGAACCCCTCGGTTTGCAGGCCAACACTCAATCCACTGAGCCACACCAGCCAGGGCTATTTGATGTTTTTAATGCTTTGGAGGATGTTACAAACGTCTAACAAAATGTCTGACTACGCTGTTTGTTATGAATAGAGTATGCTAATTGGTGAAGCGTGTCTTGAGAGCCACATATTTTGATGGCTAAACTTCTCCCTAAATTGGAAGTCCTTCAACTCCTTTGAGGATTTCTTAGTTGTCTGCTTTACTATGAGAGCTTCATAAATAGTCATAAAATAATAGGTTAAGGATAATAGCAACATGCTATTTAATCTGTTTTAAGAAAATTTATTTACCATTTTCCCTCAGAATTGACCTTTGGTGGAGTTAAATTGCTTCTGAGGAAAAAAATATAAAAAGAAGTTTTCATTTTAGGCAAAAGTTTTAAAGGACTATTCTCATTATCCAGAGGTCTAAAATTTTCCTTTCCCTTATATTTTTATTTTTTTAGAAGTAAAAAATCATTTCCATCTTTCAAATGTGTTAGGCTGTTATTTAAGTTAATGGACACTTTTAACCAAAACTCCTATTGTTGAAAACATGGCTGTGACAGTTCTCATAGAGGCTTCTAAAATACTTATTTCTGTTATTCTTTATAATGATATTAAAACCTTTAAAGAGTTCTTAGCAAATATTTATGAATAATTTATAGTCTATATAATATAGTGTCTATATCCATAGTCTGTAGAAGGGTGACATACTTATTATTTTAAAATATTGTCTAATTTGCCAGTTTATTCACTGTGATACTTTTCTCCAAGGTGGTGTATTTAAAGAGATCCTTTAAAAATATAACATGGCTTTAAATAGAGCTCATTTTAAATTAATGGCCCTATACCATCAACTATAAACTATTCTGAGCACTTTAAAATCAGCTTTTATTTATTTTATTTTATTAATCCTCACCTGAGGATATTCCTTGATCATTTTTAAAGATTTTATTTATTTATTTTTTAAGAGAGGGGAAGGGAGGGAAGAAAGGAGGAAGAAAAATCAATGTGTAAGAGAAATATCGACCAGCCTCTCACAGACCCCCAACCAGGGACCTGGCCTGCAACCCAGGCATGTACCCTGACTGGGAATTGAACCGGTGACCCTTTGGTTCACAGGCTGGTGTTCAACCCACTGACCCATACGAGCCAGGGCTGTTCATTTCTTTATGGAGGAAGGGGGAGAGAGAGAGAGGGAGAAGAGAGGGAAACATTGATGTGAAAGAGAAACATAGATTGATAGCCTCCTGTGCGCTCCAGGGCCAGTGATTGTATGATGCACTACAACCCAGGAATGTGCCCTGACTGAGAATCCAACTCATAACTTTCCACTTAGAGGAAGATACTCCAACCAACTGAGCCATACCAGCCATGGGAAAAATCAAGTATCTTTTAAATTCGTAATTACAGAGCACTTCCAGCCAAGATGGAGGTGTAGGTAGATACACTGCCTCCTTGCACAACCAAAATAAAGACAACAACAAGTTTAAAAACAAAAAATAACCAGACTGCCACAAAATCGAACTGTATGGAAGTCTGACAACCAAGGAGCTAAAGAAGAAGCATTCACACAGGCTGGTAGGAGGGGAGGAGATGGGCAGCATGGCCAGGCAGTAGCTGATGGACCATGTGATCCCACATGTGCATGCAGGTAAACTGGGAGGAACAGCTGGGGAACAAGACAGACCGTGCAATCCAGGGTTCCAGTGAGGGAAAAGAAAGCCTCAAAACCTCTGGCTGTAAAAAAAACCTGTGGGGTTTGTGGCAGTGAGAAAAACTCTCAGCCTCACAGAAGAGTTCGTTACAGACACCCACAGGGTCCTAGAACATACACAAACTCACCCTCCTGGGAACCACCACTAGAAGGACCCAATTTGTTTGTGGATAGCAGAGGAAGTGACTGAAAGCCGGCTGGGAGCCAAGCAAGCGACCTTGTTCCCTTTCGGACTTCTCCCCCACATACAGTGCCACAACTCAGTAACCTGAGTTGTCACTCTGGCAAATACCTAAGGCTCTGCCCTTTCCAACATAACAGGCACACTGAGACAAAGAAATATGGCCTAAATGAAAGAACAGATCAAAGCTCCGAAAATAGAACTAAGCGATGAACAGATAGCCAACCTATCAGAAGCACAGTTCAAAACACTGACAATCGGGATGCTCACAAAATTGGTTGAGTATGGTCACAAAATGGAGGAAAAGGTGAAAGCTATGCAAAGTGAAATAAAGAAAAATATACAGGGAATCAACAGTAAATGGAAGGAAATGGGGACTCAAATCAATGATTTGGAGCAGAAGGAAGAGAAAAACATTCAACCAGAGCAGAATGAAGAAATAAGAATTCAGAAAAATGAGGAGAGGCTTAGGAACCTCTGGGACAACTTTAAATGATCCAACATCCAAATCATAAGGGTGCCAGAAGGAGAAGAGAAGGAGAAAGAAATTGAAAACTTACTTGAAAAAATGATGAAGGAGAACTTCTCCAATCTGGTGAAGGAAACAGACTTCCAGCTCAGAGAGTCCCAAAGAAGTTGGACCCAAGGAAGTACACACCAAGGCACATCATAATTACATTATCCAAGATTAAAGATAAGGAGAGAATCTTCAAAGCAGCAAGAGAAAAGGAGACAATTACCTACAAAGGAGTTCCCATAAGACTCTCAGCTGATTTCTCAAAAGAAACCTTGCAGGCAAGAAGGGGCTGGAAAGAAGTATTAAAAGTCATGAAAGCCAAGGAACTACATCCAAGATCACTCTCTCCAGCAAAGCTATCATTTAGAATGGAAGGGCAGATAAGGTGCTTCCCAGATGAGGTAAAGTTAAAGGCGTTCATCATCACCAAGCCCTTATTATATGAAATATTAAAGGGACTTATCTAAGAAAAAGATGAAGATCAGAAACTATGAACAGTAAAATGACAACAAACTCACAACTATCAACAACTGAACCTAGAAAAGAAAAACAAACTAAGCAAACAACTAGAACAGGAACAGAATCACAGAAATAGAGATCAGAGGGGAGGGGAGAGAATGGGGGAAAAGTTATAGGGAATATGAAGCGTAGTTGGTAGATACAAAATAGACAGGGAGAGGTTAAGAATAGTATAGGAAATGGAGAAGCCAAAGGACTTATATGTACAACCCATGAACATGAACTAAGGGGAGGGGAATGTGGGTGGGACAGGGGATGCAGGAGGGAGAGGAATAAAAATGAGAAAAAAATGGGATGACTGTAATAGCATAATAAAATATATATTAAAAAAAAATTGGTCAATGAGGCAGGGCCCCAGGCTCCTCGTCCTCTCCTGCAGGGGGCGGGGGGCGGGGCACGAGGAGGGGAATCTCCCCGGTGGTCAGCTTCCCTCGCTATAACAAGTCTTGGCATAGCCCTGGCTGGTGTGGCTAAGTAGATTGAGTGCTGGCCTGCAAACCAAAGGGTTGTGGGTTTGAATCCCAGTCAAGGTACATGCCTAGGTTGCAGGCCAGGTCCCCAGTAGGGGGTGCATGAGAGGCAACCACACATTGTTTTTCCCTCCCTTTCTCTAAAAATAAATAATATATATATATTTTTTTAATTAAAAGAAAATAAATTTGTGGTTACAAAATAGTCATGGGGATGTAAAGTACAGCATAGGGAATGTAGTCAACTGTTGTGATAACTGTGTATGGTGTCAGATGGGTTCTAGATTTATTGAGATAATCACTTCATAAGTTACATACATGTCTAATCACTAGGTTGTACACCTGAAACTAAAATAATATTGTACATCAATATAATTGAGAAATATAAATTATTTTTTTAAAAAATAAAATTAGATGTCTGTTTGTTGTTATGTGGATAATTTCATTTCTAGGGATGCTTGGAGTTCATTGGGTGATATGACCAAAGAGGAAGCCATGATTGCATATGTTGAAGAAATGAAAAAGGTAGGGAAAAAAATTCACAGAAGAAAATAAAAATACTCAGAGCCATTCTAATTTAATTTGGTTATCAGGTAAATTAGTTGCTTTGTTTTAAGAACAAAGAGATTGTAATATATTGAAAGAGAGAATCTAGATTATTGAATTTATTAGGACTTTATCTGTCTTATCAAAGTTCATCTTAAGGTGAGTGTTTTTTCCTTATGTCACATTGGGGTGACATCATAGTCTCCCACCCCCCACCACTTCCCTGTCTTTCTGTATATCTTCTCTTTTGCAGAAAGTGCATAAATATGAATATCTCAAAATATTGACATCCCTTACTCAGGAATCTGAGAAATACCTGGACTGTCTTGAAAGCATTTCTGCTTTGGAATTGTTTTATTTAGGAGAAATAGTTAACAAAACTGCTAACAGTGGTCTCAAACACCTTTTGACCCTTAAATTGAGATAGTAACATCATTTTTCCTTAGTAACAGGCACTTTGCCATCAATGCAAAGATCCTTTAGAAGCAGAATAAGGATGCTTTTAGTTTCTTTGATAACAACTAAAAAGTGCATCCCTTATTAACTAGCTTTTTTAAGTCTGTTCAGGGCATTGCTTAGAGGTGCAAATTTATGAAGAAATTGTAGATTTAAAAGATGGACTTAGTACCATTTTATAAAGGACTGTTTTTATGTTGGAGATGGATCAGAAGGTATGAAATCTAGGTCTATCTATAATCTTCAATTATCTTTGAACATAAAATCTATAAAAAGAATAGTTTTTGGGGGGAGGCAGGTGGTTTAATAGTATTAATCTGTAGTAATTTCTATTTAGTAGATTCAAAGTAGTTTTTGTTTTGTTTAATCACATCTACATTGCTCAAAATTGTGCCATTTGTTACATTTTCACAATTTTTGTTTAACGGACTTTGATTATAATGGCACGGTTTGGTTCTTTTGGCTGTTAACTATAGCAGTAACATAACAACAAAGGAGCCTTTCAAAAACAGAAAGAGAATCTAAAGACTTTTTGGTTTGATAACTATTCCTTTTTCTTTACCTTAAATATCATAATTTTTACAACACCTCAGTAATGTAAAGCTGAATTGACACATTAAGTAAAATTTACTCATTTTTCATATTGAGTTTTATTAATACATGATGTAACCACAGTTAAAAGTGGGAGTGGGGGTGAAAAAAATGTGTCCCACTTTTTTTTTCCAAGAAAGATTAAAACTATACTGCTGTCTTTTAGCTGTCTTAAGATGCTTCCACTGTGTCTATAGATTTCTGTAACTACTTCCCTAATTAAAAGAAGACACCAACTCCTTTGGCTGGGTAGCTCAGCTAGATAGATCACCGTTTTGATGCACCAATGTTGCGGGTTCTATCTCTGGTCAGAGCACATACAAGAAGCAACGAATGAATGTATGAGTGGGTGAACAGCAAGTTGATGTTTCTCTCTCTCAAAAAACAAAACAAAACAAAAAAACACCAAGTATCTTTACTGAGACTTTATTTATAATTTTCATTTAATACTATGAATATAATACATTTTATAGGAAACTGTTATAGGTCAATCTGAAATATTAAAATATGCATAGATTGAAAATTTTGTTAGTGTTTTCAGTTATTTTCAGAGTTTAGCATTGTGGACAGCAGTAGATAAAATTGCATCCTTCCAAATAATCGTGTGAGTGTAGTACGTTATCCCAAAGATTTCATAACTAAATTTGAGGCTTTTTAAAATAATAATAATTTACTAACTGAAGCAGCATTGAATTATGTTCTCAAATATAGGTCACAAATCATGGTACTATTGCTCTTTAGAATTACTCTTTTAGTGTACATCTCGTTCCATGTCTTTTAGTGTACATCTCGTTCCATGCCTAGTTTTATTTATATGTTTTAATACATAATGATTTACAGAAAATTGCTTTTTATAATTTATAAACTGTTTGGTGAAATATCACCAAAAAAGTTGCTAGAATAAAAAATTATTTAAAAATAATTTAATAGAATTTTAGTTTTGAGGGATAGAGTAATGTAGTTTGGGATGTATAATCCATGTTTCTATACATAGTTTATTTTGATTTATAATCAAAGGGAAATACAAAATTCTATTTTCTGTACAATTTTACAGTTTATCTTATGGGGATTTCCAGGAAATCAGACAATACTTGAATAATGTGCATTGTGTCTATTGAGTTTAAAGAGAGATCAATGTACATTCCAGGACCCCTAGTTGATACCTAAAACTGTAGATGGTATTGAAACGTACATATACTGTTTTTTTTTTCCCTATACATACATACCTTTTCATTTAAAGAAAGCATTTTATGGCTTCTCTTTTGGCATATTTCATTGACATCAGTCACCAGTTGGTGGCTATTTATTTGAATCCTTGTCAGTTAATATGCCTTCCTCTTTAAATTCGATGATTATAAATTGGCCCACAGTTATGAAGGTGTCTGAAAGTGGTTATTATTTCCTAGTTTTGGAAACAGTACCATAGTTAAAGAACAATTTTATACTAACCCAACAGTTTTCTATTTTATTTAACATTAGTGCCCTTAGGGTTTTTGGGGGTTTTTTGTTTCCCTTTATTGATTTGGGAGAGAGAGAGAGAGAAAGAGAGGTCAGCTTGTTGTTCCACTTATTTATGCATTCATTGGTTGATTCTTGTATGTGCCCTGACTGGCCATCATGAACCCGCCACCTTGTTGTATGGGGATGATGCTCTGACCAACTGAGCTACCCAACCAGGGCCTAGTGCCCTTCACTCTTAAATGCACAATTTATAGATTATTGGGTAAAATTTTGCATGAACTTTATGTGAAATAGTCTTTAAATGGGAACGCTTTTAAGTCTTTATTGTACTTGAAACTTTTCCAGGAGGTTATATAAGTATGTATTAATACAGATACTTTGGGAGTCTATAAATGAACTTCACATCTCATTTATCAATATGTAAGTTGTAAATGTTATATTATTTGATAGTAATTTAGATCAGATTAATAGTTTGTGATTTCACAATATTTGTTTCTTTTGATTCCAGATTCTTGAAACTATGCCAATGACTGAGAAAGTTGAAGAATTGCTACATGTCATAGGACCATTTTATGAAATTGTAGAGGACAAAAAGAGTGGCAGAAGTTCTGATTTAACTTCAGGTTGGACTATTTTACCTCATTTTCAACTCAGCAACTGATATATTATGCATGCATTAATAGTTATATGTCTTAATTTTTTTTTTTTTTTTACTCTCACATGCCAGTCCGACTGGAGAAAATCTCTAAATACTTAGAAGGTAGGAATAATGAAATCCATATAAAATTGTGTTTAAAATTTACATACCAAAGAATTCTACACAAATTTATCTAACTTATAAGCTGGTCACTCAAGAGTTTTAATTCAAGCAAATACATTGCATAAAGGTTTAAAATATAAATGCTTAAGTTTTAACTCTTAAGTTATAGAAACATGATAAGTGATTCACTTAGCAGGTATAAAATTGTAACAGAATTCATAGTTTTATTTTGATGGATTATATTTTCTAATTTGCTTTTCAATTTTATTAGCAATGCCATGGCTGAATTTATTTTCTAGCTAATATTGCTATTATTTTGTTAATCCTCACCTGAGGATATGTTTATTGGTTTTTAGAGAGAGAGGAAGGGGGAGAGAGAGAGAGAGAGAAAGAGAGACATTGATATGAGAGAGTAACATCGATCGGTTGCCTCCCATATGCACCCCGACCTGGGATCGAACCCATAACCTGGGTATGTGCCCTGACCGGGAATTGAACCTGCAAATTTCTGGTGTATAGGATGATGCTCCAACCAGCTGAGCCACCCTGCCAGGGCTCTAGCTAATTTTAAAGTGCTATGTTTCAACAAAACAAGTGAATTCACTAAGCTTAGTTTTTCTTTTTAGAATTCTCTTTTTGTATCCTCTGTAAAGAATGGAAAGGTGTATTTTTTACATACTAGCAGGAGTTGAATACTATGCAGATTTGCAGGTATTAACTTTAAACATGTGCTCTTTAAATTATTTTTAGAAAGCTGAATGAAATGAACCCATGAGAGTCATTTTAAATGAAAATTATCCATGTTTTAATATATATAGTATCCCTCCTTTTTTACCTGTCATCTCTATTTTCAAGGCATCTTTTACTAATTGACGGAAATTACAGTGTTTCTGAACAGTAATCATCCTGTCCTGTCATAAGGTGTGCAGTTTGTCTGCCACAACTTCTGGTGACTGCTTACTGGGCATAATGCTGTACCATACCTTCTATATCTGATTTGCCTAGAGGAGTCAAATGCTTTCAGAAAACCTTCCTTATTCATGCTTATTCAACTCAGAAAGAATACTGTGTTTCTCTGTATGAAGTATGTTTTTAGGACACAAAGGGGCATAAATTTAGACCTGTTTTAGTAGTGTCTAGCCTACTGGCCAGAGGCAGGTGTTTGAACAACCAATTATGAAAACAAGGAAGAGTGAGTAATAATAATAATAATAATAATAATAAAGATTCAGGTTCACAACTCCTTAGCTATAATTAAAAAATTCAAAATGCTTGATAAACCAGAGTTTTTTTTTAAAATAACTCATTTGGCAGTAAAACTTGACCTCACATGAACTAATTGAAAGGGCAAACCCTGACCTAAAATGACATGAAGCTATTTTAACTATCCCATCTATTCATATGTTTCGCTGAAAAAAAAGTTAGCTTTTTTTTTTGTCAAGTGAGAGCTTCCTAAACTCTGTTAGTGTTACATAATATACAGTATATATAGTGTATGACCTTTGCAAAATTAGAATATTCTGGATTTTGAACCATATCTGAATCCAAGGGTGGTAAGGGACATGGACATGTAGCATAATGTATTTAATCTATACCATGCTAATGTACATTTAGATCTTCTGATCTTCAACAAATACTGATGAAATTAATCATGTGCAAATGTCATTTTAATATTTGGAAGTATATTGTAAGAAATAATATTGAAAGTGTAATTGCTAGATGAAAGGATATTGGTATTTCATAGGTGTTTATAATTTTGTAAAATATTACCACATTTCAGGATAGTTTGTAACATTTATTTTTTTTAAAAATAAAGCATTTTGTTCCAAATAGGTATTTAGGCCCAGTAGAATAGATGTATATTTTCCACATGGGCTTTTTCAGAATATACTTACATAGTAAGTTTTGAAATTAGGAGTTATGAGCTGTCCAACGTTGTTCTTTTTCGAGAGTGTTTTGACTATTTTTGATTCCTTGCATTTCCATATGAATTCTAGAATCAGTTTGCCAATTCTTGCCAAAAGTGCCAGCTGGAATCTTGATAGGAATTGCAATGAATTATAGATCATTTGGGGAAGTGTTTTCATTTTGACATTATTGCCTTCCAGTTGATTTATTTAGATCTTTAATTTCTTGCAACAGTTTTGTCATTTTCAGTGTATAATTCTTACACCTTCTTTTTGTGTAAAATATTCTTAAGTATTTTATTCTTTTTCAGGCTTTTGTATTTTGAATTGTTCTCTAATTTTTTTGGATTGTTTATTAGCTTATAGAAATACAGTTGATTTTTATGTATTGACTTTGTATCATGCAATGTAGCCAAACTATTTATTAGTTCTAATAGTTTTTGAAGATTTCTTAGGATTTTCTCTATAGGAGAGCATGTCATCTGCAAAAAGAGGTTATTTTACTTGTTTCTTTCCAATCTGGATGCTTTTTATTGTCTTCTAGCCTAACTGCCCTGGCTAAAACTTCTAGTACAATATTAAATAGAGATGGCAAAAGCAGATACCTCTGTGTTATTCCTTATCTTGGGAGCACAAAATTCATTCTTTCTATGTTAAGTATGGATGCTAGTTATGAGTTTTCTTCATTCCTTTTATCAGATTGAAGAAATTCTCTTGCATTAATTTCTCCAATATTATTATCATGAAAGAGTGGTGGATTTTGTCCAATGCTTTTTCCGTTTCTGTTGCAATAATCATGTAGGTTTTGACCTTTAGTCTGTGAATATGATGTGTTACATTAATTGTTTTTATTATGTGGAGTAACGCTCTTTAGTAACTGTGCTTTCTACAACTCTCATCACAGGGCTGTTGTGATGCTTTTTTTTGCTGCTGTCAAGTAGTTTTTGGCATTCATCTATTTGGTGGCTAGATTTAGGGGATTCCCTGTTACTTAGTTTTGTTGAAGATGTCTGTGAATGGTGGGTATTTCTGTTTTTTGTGGAAGATCTTCCACCTCCTCCTGAGTACGAACTGGCTCCATCCAAGTTAGAAGAGGATGTGGATGTTGTTTACCTTATTTGAGATTACCATGCACTGTAGAAAGATGTGCTTAGCTTTTTTTCAGGTGACAGAATCTGCAAATGGTGAGAATGGAATTCACTTCCTTTTAAGTAGAGATGGAAAACGAAAGAGTGATGCCTTAATTGAAATGAAGTCAGAGCAGGATATGCAGAAAGCCTTAGAAAGACATTGCTTGTACATGGGGCAGCAGTATGTGGAATTAATTATATGAGATAAACAATGAAGATATGGATGCCTTAATGAAGAGCCTGCAGGTCGAATATTTACTTGTAAATGATGGTGGGGTTCGTTTGAGAAGACTTCCTTATAGTTGCAGTGAGAAAGACATTGTAGATTTCTTTGCAGGACTGCATATAGGTAGACATTACTTTTGTGAAGGACTACAGAGGGATTATAAAAAAGGAGAAGTCCATGTTCAGTTTGAAGAGCCGTGAATGGTCAACGAAGCTCTATTGAAACACGGGGAAGAAATGGGTAACCGATACATAGAGGTATTTCTAAGCAGAAGGAATGAAGTTGGAACACATGTGACTTTGGGCAATAGGACAATTTGACTTTTTATTTATTTTTTAATTAAGTTTTTTTGGAGTGGCATTGGTTAAAATGTGCCTTTTAAAATGATCACAGTAACTGATAATTTTTTTTTAAAAAAGCTTGTATGTAAAGACATAATGATTTGTGCAAAAGAAAAAAAATAAGTTGTATACCTGAAGCCCTAAAGATAATAAAATTTAAAAAAATTTTAAGGTAGTCCACCTATAATATTGATTTGACTGTTGTGAAGGCCAAAAATAATATATTTATGTTTTCAGTATGCTCACCTGTAGAAACTGTCTCTTAATTTACCATGTGTAAAGATCATTCATCTGTAGCTTTACTACTTTTTTAAACTAGAATTTCTTTTTTTGTTAAAACTTTTTAAAAAAGATTTTGTTTATTTATTTTTAGAGAGAGGGGAGGGAGGGAGAAAGAGGAGGAGGGAAACACCCACTGGTTGCCTCTTGCACACCCCCATCTGGGGACTTGGCCTGCAACCAAGCATGTGCCCTAACTGGGAATTGGACCTGTGACCTTTCTGTTCCTAGGCCAACACTCAGTCCACTGAGCCACACCAGCCAGGACTATAGCTTTACTATTTTGACTGATGTTAACTTAAAAATAACTTGTCCTCTGCCTTTTCAGAAAAGTTTTAAGATTGCTTTATTATTTTATTTATAGTCAGACAAAAGAATACTGTAATTATATGTCAGCATGTTTACTTCAAAATTATTCTGTTACTTGTAAATCACAGTGTTATTGTATGTTATATCATTAGAGATTAAATGCTCATTTTTGTATTTTAGATCTTGGCAATGTTCTGACTTCTCCTCCAAATGCCAAAACTGTTAATGGTAAAGCTGAAAGCAGTGATAGTGGAGCTGAGTCTGAGGATGAAGAGGCCCAAGAAGAAGTGAAAGGAGCAGAACAAAGTGATAATGGTAGTCTTTGGATGATGGGATAATAATTTTACAATTAAATAAGATAAAAGGACATGGAGAGGCTTGGGCTGATTTGGCTTTGTATGGGAACGGTGGGATGTGGGTTGTTGACCCTGTAACCAGACTTGTTGTGGATCAGAAGGTCTGCAGAATTAGGGACAGCCATCCTTACGCATAGATGGAAAACATGTCCACTGAAGGCTAACAAGAATATGCCGCTCTTTTAAAGGTAATGCCTGAAATGCTGCATTAGAAACATATTCATTTAACGTATTATTTCCAATACGAATATTCATGTTACCAAGAACAGAAGACAACCATCCTCTTGTCAAGAACAGAGTGGAACCCAGAGAATAGGATATAGGCAGAAATTTTGATGAAGAGGGAACATTGGAATTGGGGGCCCTGTATTATTAGGGTGTCCTTATTAGTAAGAGTACCAAAGATTCTTGGGAAGACTTTTCTAAAAAAAAATTTTTATTGTATTTTTTCCCTGTTACCATTTATCCTCCTCCCCACTGCAGTTACCACACTGTTGTCCCTGTCTATGAGTCCCATTTTTGCTGGGTCCCTCTACCCCCTAATGCCCCTCCCCAGAGCTGTCGGCCTGCTCTCTTTGGGTCTGTCTCTATTTTGCTTGTTAATTTAGTTTGTTCATTAGATTCCACATATGAGTAACATCATACCTTTCCAAGGCATTTGGCATTTGTCTTTTTCTGACCGGCTTATTTCAGTTAGCATAATGTTATTCAGATCCATCCATGCTGTTGCAAAGGGTAAGTTTTCTTTTTTTACTGCTGAGTAGTATTCCATTGTGTAAATGTCCCATAGTTGTTTCATCCATTCATCTACTGATGGACAAGGATGACTGTTTTAGAAAGGGGAGGCAGAAAAACACTTAAACAAACTCTACAAACTGTAATTTTGCCTTTCTATTTCATTAAGGTATGAAAATACCTTTTTTGAAGGATTTTTTTTTAATTGACTATATGTACCTCTTTGTCCTACTGGGCCTCATAGAACAATTTGCCTATGCTGAGAGAGTGTGAAGACCTTGATAGCTTATCTCTTAAAGGAGGGTTTAGTAAATTAACAGGGAACTGAAGCAGTTTTGAAACCAACACAGTTTGTGTGAGTTCTCAGTATATAAAACAGCCCTTTTTTAGGAGCACCCCATCTCTGATCCAAGTAAGAAACCCTTCAGAGCAACTATGGCAGGTTGAAGAAATGACTACTTGATATTAGAACATATACAGAGGTTGATCTAATGTGAACTTTTATGAATCTCTCCATTTTCACATAAAAGATAGGAAAATGATGAAGAAATCCACAGAGCATAAGAATTTGGAAGTTGTTGTCAGTCAGGGCTGTGATAAAGACGGCTGTGTTCAGGATGTACAGAATGCTATCCACGCCAGATCTTCCCTGAGTGGCAGAAGCACCGAGGAAGCCACACCCGTAGATCAAAACTTGGAGCAAACTGGAAAACCTGCTGTCTGTGTTCACCAAGGTATTCTTCCAGAATAATTATTTGTCCAGCCTCTTTCCTATGAATAAGATATTCTTTTGATAATTTCAGATTATTAGGAGCAATGTAGAGTTTAAAATCTCTTATTCAGTAGTATCTATGGATTTATTAATTTTACAAGGGTGTATACCTTTGAAAGACAGTGAATTAGGGCATTTATGTTTTTAATGAGATTTTAAAATTGTTTTTAAGTGACATTTTAAAATAAAATTGTAAAATTTTTACTTTTATTCCTGATTTTTTTTTAACTTAAATCCCTGATTATATGATACCTTTGTTCTCCGATCAGCTAGGTAAATTATGCTCTTTTCATATGGTCAGGCCCTAGGGGCCAGCATGTAACATAATATGTATATGGTGAATTATTAACACTATTGCAATTCAGCCAAGAAACTGAGAAACATAATTTCTAAGTGTTACAACCAAACTTGCAATAGTTGCCTCAGAATTTAGACTTCCTAGCTGCTATTCAGTTTTTTCTTAAAGGTTATTGAGTTCTATAAGGTTTGACCTGGACAGTATCTTTGAATAGTTCCATAATAAAATACTTTGATATCTTCTCAAATAAAAATTATCAACTAAATTTAAAGTTTTGGTAAGTTAAAAGAAAAAAGGTGTGGCTTGGTAAGTCAAATTTGTCTCCCAGTGTGAAAATAATATATAACTAATAAAGTTTAAAAACAGAGTAAGTGCATTTTTTTCTTCAGTTAGAGAATAATTATTCTACCTGGGCATTTATTCATATGTAGATATAAATGATGATCGTGTTGAAGATGTTTCAGGAATTCAGCACTTGACAAGTGATTCAGATAGTGAAGTTTACTGTGATTCTATGGAGCAACTTGGACAAGAAGAGGTAAAAATTACATTTTTTTAATTGGCAGTTTTTCAAAGTGGTATATCAGAATTTGAAACATAATTTCTGTTAATACCAGATGTACGTTTTGTTGATCACTTTGAAAACATATCTTTAAAATATTTAAGTATTTGTATTTTAAATTATTTTTGTGTGAATTAGGAAGTATGCTAAATTCCTGAATAGTCAAAAAATTTAAATACTATAATTTAGAATATTTGTCAATATTCTGAGAGAGATGGGATGGGGAGGCAGAGGGTAAATTCTTTATGGTAGTTCCTATGTTTAAAATATTGATTAACATTTTTAGAAAACTGAATAGTTTTCAAACAGATCTGTTTTTCACATTGAGTTTAATATGTTGAACTGAAATACTTTTCAAATTTTAGTTAAGATTCAGGATTGGAAGCTAACATTTGAAAAACTGTTAAAACTACATAAATTTTTCTTTGACCACTTTTTCTGATAATGAATGAGTAGTGCGGTTTTGACAGCTATATTTATGTTTGGTGGTTTTGAATCCTTCTTCCACTATTTCCCTACTCTTGTTCTAACACAGTTCAGTGTGTCTTATAGAAAATTATCTTTTTCCTCCCTGAAGTAATGGCTTCAATTTTTTCTCTTTCTGTTTTTCTTTCTTAAAAAATTTCATAATGCAAGTAAATTTACCTCTTAGCTTTCTCAAATTTAAAAACACATGAACAGAATACTTTTTAACTAAGGTCGAATACCAATAACTAGCACAGAATAACGATAAGAATTCCAAACTTAGAATGAGCTAAAATGAGTGAAGAATGTAGCGATAGAAATCCAGATTTCCTTTTATTTTTTTCTTTTTGAAAAGGTTTGATTGGGGAAAGTTGGTGAAAAAAGACTGGCTGAGATTTATCTCAGTAAATATCTGGCTACTAGATTCTAGATTTCCTCCTATTTTCTCTTAACATCAATTGATGGACTAAAATCCTTCATGAGACTCTGTCTGAGCTGGTTCCTACTTACGTTTTTCGCCTCTGTTCGCACCACTCTCCTGTTTGGGCTTCGCTCATAGCCACCCTGGCCTTCTCTCTGTTCCTCTAATATGTCAAGTCCTTTCCCCTTCTGTCCTCCAGCACCAGCATCTTTATATACATTTTGCTGGAATGTAATTCACCACTCACTGTCCATACATGGAAGTGACTCCTAGACATCCTTTAAACCCTAATTCAGATGTCCCTTCCTTAAGGAAACCTTAGATAAGATACAGCCCCACCACATTACCCATCCTGACCAAGTCTAGGTTAATTATAGGTTGTCACCCACAAATTTCCTAGGTGGGTTCTTTTAAAAGTATATTTAATCTCTATGATCAGTTTAGGAGTCCTTGAGAATCAAGATGTTTGTCCAAATTCTTTTTGTGGATAACTAATATCACATTCATTTATTGTTTGCTGATTATGATTTGAACATTTTCCTTTTCTCATTAATTTCTGCTTATAAAAGTACTTCTAAAAATTTTATAATTGCCTCTTGAATGTAGCAGTTAAGCATGCCCCTTATCCCCAACACACATACACAGAGTAAATGATACTTTTAAATTTTTTGATGTATTTATTTTGTTGCAATAAAGTGTTTAGCCTGATAATATGATGTTTAGGATTTGTTTCAGAATAACTCACTGGGGATGGGCATGAGAGTCATAGGTAAAATAAAACAAAGCTTGCCCTGAAGTGATAATTGATTAAACAAAGTGATTGGTACTCTAGTATGTTTGAAATTTTCCATGATAAAAAGTTTAAAAAATGAGCATTATAGTTGTCTGGAATATTTCTTTAACCATGTATTGTATTTTCTAACTTATGTAGCCTCTGTAATGTTTTTTTCCCCCTCCTTTTCCTTCTTCCATGAGAATGTTGAATTTATGTTCTACATACAATTGCATTATCATTATTATTGCTTTGTAATACAGTTATCACTTCATAATGAGTTACTTTTGCTGTACTTTCTTATGACTTATGGAATAATATGTTCTAAAGAGTCATTATTTCGTCCTTAAGCTTCAACTGGTTTTTATCCATTGAGGTATTAGCCAATCTGCTAGTATGATTAAAATTTTGTTTTATTATCTGACCTATTGTTAATCTAAGCTCAATCTTAAATAATATTACTTTTAACTTCTTTATCTATGACAGGTAATCTGTAATACAGTATTTTCAAAAAGTGTAATATTATCATTTTATTTTCTGGATTTTTGTAGTGGTTTTTGAATACAGTAATGGTTTCACCTTGTTTTATGTAATATTTTCTTGCTTTCTGTCCTTTCCAAAGGGTTCATTGTCTGCAAGCACTATATCCCAAAGGTTTTACTGAATTTCTGAGGCAATAGACAACCTCATGCTTTCAAGGGCCTTATCTCACTAAACAAAATAGTGTTGAAAAGAAAGTCAATTTTTTATTTCACAGTTTTTCTTTTCAGTCCTGTTTAAATAAGTTGAGTAACTTACTGATCCCTTTTTAAAGGTTGAGATTTTGAAAGAGCAGATTATTAGCAGTTACTGCTTTGCAGAAGCTGAAAGCAAACCATGTTCTAGAATAACCACTTAATGTAACAGACAATTGTGTGGAAGTACTGTTCTGAAAATGAAATAAAGATTTGGAGATAGGAAATGTTTTATATATACATACATAGAGTTCTGATGTCATTCCAAACCAGTATAACAATGTACATTTGGAATTTTGTCAGGTGAGTTAGAAATCTAAGGTAAAAGACTAAGAGAGAAAAATATTTTAGGTCTTTATTTTCTTCCCCTTTGTTTTATATATTCACCTTATCTATTAAGCAGCACTTCTCAAACTTTAATGGGGAGCTTGTTATAGCACAGATTCTTGGGCCTGAACCCCACAGTTGGTTGTTAGGTAGGTCTGGGGTAGGACCCATACATTTCCATTTCTAAGCAGCTTTCAATTGACGCTGATGGCATTGCTGGTTGGTAGACCACACTTTGAGTAGTATCTAAGGCATAAGAAGCTAGAGTCCTACCAGAATAGGTGATGTGAGTAGAGGATTGATACTCATTACTCCCATTTCACCTTTTCCTTGCTTTCGTCAAATAATTTTGTTTACTCTTTCACAGAGAAGATAGAAGGCACTAGGTTATTACTCCTTCAACTTCACACCTGGACACTTAACTTCTTTCACTTCCTGACTATAAGTTACACCCATTCAGACCTTGCCACCTTTTTTCCCACCTCAGTGGAAGATCTTCTTCCCATCTAAGGCCAGTTTCTCTAATGTGTATCTTATTTACTCCCACTTCTTTGGAGATGTTCATTTTTTATATCCTCTAGACTCTTCCCAACCATTGTCCCTCTTCTGGTGCTTTCTTCTAAAGGTATTCATATTCTTTCCATCTTTAAAACAAAATTCTCTTTCAAACTTATGGTGCCCTCTATACCTTTATGGCCAACCTTTCTGTTGGTCGTTGTTCCTTCATGGTATTGATCCATTTCAGATAACATGCCAGCGTGCCTTTTTTGCTCATTTGAATGGATTCTTTACATTTTCTATGTCACTTAAATATCATTAAACATTAGCCACTCTCTTGTTCAATATATTTCCTTGGCTTCCATTACACTATTTTTAAGGTTCCTTCCTTCCTTCCTCCCTCCCTCCCTCCTTTCCTCCCTTCCTTCCTTCCTTCTTCACCTCTTAGCCTTGCTCTGTGGGTTTTTCTTCCTCTTGTTTGACCCCTTAAATTTGGCATATATCCCTAATTATTACTACTTTGGTTTCAGCCATCATTTACATGCTAATGGCTCAAAGTGATACCTCCAACCTATATCTCTCCTGAATTCTAACTGCTCTGTTAGACATCTTGCCTAGGAACCTCAACTTTTTTCTTATTTTTAACTATATCATTTTCTCTTTTTGCCCCCTGAGACCTCCTTATTTTCTATATTTCTTATTTTGGTGAGTATCACAAAACCAGCTAGTCTTTTCCTTTCCCTATTCCTCACGTTCAGCCTTCAAGTCCTATAGATTCTATATTCCAAGTCCTATAGATTCTGTAATCTCAGAAGTTCTCACATCATCCACTGTCCCACTGCTACTTCATTGGTGCATGCTGTCATCATTACCACAGCTTTGAATTGGCTTATGCTCATCTGTTCAAGTTTAGTTCATATCATTTCTTCCAGTAAGCTGTCCTGACCACGCCCCTACTCAACTCCAGTATGAGTTAGACACCCCTCCTATGAGCTCCTATAGTCCCCTTTGTACCTCTTTTTCATAACACTTATCAAACTGCGTTGTAAGAATCTTCTCTCCTTTGCTAAAACTATAAGCCTCTGGCAGACAGAGATTTTTTCTTTTTCAAATTTATCCCTAGAGTTTTAACATAGTAACTAGGATAAAAATGCACATTTAAATGTTTCTTGGATGAATGAGTGACCCATGAGAACAATTCATTGACATAACATCTCAATTCTTTGCTCATGGATGATCCGTTTCTATTTCATTTTTTCCCTACATATGGCAGAAGATGAATTGAAGTAATTTTTTAGAAAAATAATATTTATAATAACAAAAAAATTTTTTAAAGGCAGTAATCTATTACCAAGAAAACTTTGTATAATTTATGTTTATAGCTTTTAACTACCTGTTGTTTTGAATTTGTAGTCTTTAGATAGCTTTACATCAAACGGTGGACCACTTCAGTATTACTTGGGTGGTGATCCCAATAAGCCCTTGGAAAATTCTGGTTTTCCTGAAGATGTTCAGATTTCTCCTGGAAATGGCACCGTTGGGGAGATGCAGGTGGTAGCAGTCGAAGGAAAAGGTGAAGTAAAGCACGGAGGAGAAGATGGCAGAAGTAACAGTGGAGCGCCACACCGTGAGAAACGGGCTGCGGAAAATGAGGAATTATCTAATGTCAGAAGAGGAAGAGGTGTGTATTACTTTTAAGATTTTTATTTATTGTTTTGAGAGAGAAGGGAAGAAAGGGCGAGAAACATTGATAGGTTGCCTCTCATACTCTCCCATCTGGGGACCAAGCCCGCAACCCAGGCATGTGCCCCAACTGGGAATTGAACTGGTAACCTTTCTCTGGGAGGAGGATGACCCACCAACTGAGCCACACCAGTCAGGGCTCTTTTTTGTTTTTGCTGTCTTATAAACTAACTAGTGAAATGGGAGGTTCTAGATAGGAGAGCCACTAGACCTGTCAGTCTATGGAAGGAATGTAAAAATTATCTGTACATAACATCTGACCATTTTTCTTTATGTCTAGTTCTCTTCTTTGATTCCACAAGCCATAGTAGTGTGTTCTCAAAAACTATGGGGGAAAACATTTCTATTTTTATATCTTTTTTTACATTTTTTATCTATTTTTATATTTTATATGCTATTTTTTGAAGTAGCCAACTTTATGTTTTATTACTCCCTTGAACAATCTCTTACCAGTTGCTCCACCTGTGCTGATGCTTATTTTACTCACTTTTGGTAAAAATTAGAATTTTTTTTGGTTTTTTTTTCACATTTCCCCACTTAGAGCAAAAAATATCATATAAAGATCAAAAGTTATGTAATAGAGATAAAAGAACATTTAACAATTCAAAGGTAAACATTAAGAGCAGTAATGTGATAAGGTAATAGTTGAATGTGGAAGAAAAGTAAATAATTTATCATTGTAGTAAAGAATGAATAGATATTGTAAAAAAAACAAGAAAGAGAATTAATGGAAAGACAAATGCCATATGATCTCACTGATGTGGAATCAGAAAAAAAAAAAACCAACAACAAAAGACTTAAACCACGGAACAGATTGGTGGTTCCCAGAGGCAGAAAGCGGGCAGGGGTTTTGAGGTGAGCAAAACAGGCAAAGATGGTCAAAAAGTACAAATTTATAGTTATAAAATAAGTCATGGAGATGTAATGTACAACATTGTAACTACAATGATACTTTATTGTATATTTGGAAGTTATTAATGAGAGTAGATCTTTAAAGTTTTATCACAAGAAAACAAATCTGTACCTGTGTATGGCGATGGATGTTAACTAGACTAATTGTGGTGATCATTTCACAATATATACAAGTATTAAAAAAAAAAAAAGAAAGTCCCTGTTTAACTTCATAAAGTCATAAAAACTTAAAGAATAATCTGTGTATGTGGTTTAACAATCTACATAAAATAAATTAAGACATGGCTTTGGGAATGCTGCTATTTTAGGATTCCAGGATGCTAAAGGGCAGTGAGGTAGGTGATTATTGTTTAAAACAAAAGAAACAGATCTCGCCCATTATATTAGCAAATATAAAAACTTAAAATTTTTATTTCTGCAAACAAAAGGTAACATGGTAGTACCTTTTTTTTTTTTTTTAAGATTTTACTTATTTATTTTTAGAGAGGGGGAAGGGAAAGAGAAAGAAAGGGAGAGAAACATTGATATGTGGTTGCATGTCCCCTACTGGGGACCTGGCCCACAACCCAGGCATGTGCCCTGACTGGGAATTGAACCAGTGACCCTTTGTTTTGCATGCTGGCACTCAATCCACTGAGCCACACCAGCCAGGGCTAGTACCTTTTATATACTGCAGGATAGAACGGTCTCAGCCTTTTTGAAAAATAACTTGTAATACTCGTGAAGAATCTCCACAAAGTTGTTAACTCTTTGACCCAGTAATTCTTCTGTGAATCTATTTTTCCTAAAGAAGTCAGCAGAAATTTGGACAAGAGTTTATGTACAAGGACATTTATTTCAATGTTATTTGTAATTGTAAACTTTTGGAATCATCCTAACTACCTAAAAGTGGATAAAGTAATTGAGTAAATTCCTTCATGTATTACTAAGGAATTTATGCAGCCATTTCATTGTTTTTGAAATAAAATTTAGTAATGTAGATAAATGTTTACAGTATTTTTTAAAAGTAGGATACAAAATCATATACAGTCTGTATAGAAAGAAGAATGGATGGATATATAACAAAATTTTAAAAGTAATGAGATTTCAGTATTTTTATGAGAAAAACATTTTAACACCTTTTGGGAGGCCTACAATAACTAAAATGGAAAATTAAAAAAAGAGAAAATAAAGCTATTTAGTGTTGTTCTTAATCCTTTTAAAAAGAGAGAAAATAAAGCTATTTAGTGTAGTTCTTTTTTAAAAAGAAAAAAAGCTATTTAATATAGTTTTAAAAAAGAGAAAATAAAGCTATTTAGTGTAGTTTTTAATGCTCTAAGTGAGATTTCACTATTTCTATAAGAAAAGCATTTTAAAACCTTTTGGGAGGCTTATAATAACTAAAAAGGAAAATAAAAATAATGAAAAAAAGTTATTTAGTGGAGTTTTTAGTATTCTACTTAGTGTAATTTTTAGTGGTTTTTAATATTTTAGTGTAGTCTTAAAAACGAGAAAATAAAGCTATTTAGTGTAGTTTTTAATACTCTAAAGAAAATCTTCAAATTTCTTCAGTCTTGTTACCTTTTAGTAAAGAATTTTTGAGAATGTACCCTGAATATGATTTGCTAAATATACACATTTAGTTGTGTACTTGTATATTAAGTACATTATAAAACCTTTTTAAAAAACCCAAGAATATGTCAATAGAAATAGAAGTGTACATATATACTCTTTGATCTCAATATTTTATTTTGTGTAGTTCCTGAAATTGCTTCCACTCCATTTTGGAGATTTAGATCTCAAAGAAGTAGTATGAAAATGAATAAAACACACAATTTCTATTTTTACAGAAATAACTTACAACGAACCTATTTTGCTCTCTTACACTAGGGCATAGGATGCAACATTTGAGCGAAGGAACCAAGGGCCAGCAAGTGGGAAGTGGAGGTGATGGGGAACGCTGGGGTTCAGACAGAGGGACAAGAGGCAGCCTCAATGAGCAGATTGCTCTTGTGCTCATGCGACTGCAGGAGGACATGCAGAATGTCCTTCAGAGACTTCATAAACTGGAGACACTGACAGCTTCACAGGTAAGCTTACAAATTTGTCTTATCTTCTACTTGTTGATCCTTCAAAATAGTGTATAATCTGTATTGATCAGATTTATAGAACCCAGTGTATTTTAACTATTTTCTCTCTTTATTTATTTTTTAATTTATTTATTTTTTCAAATACATTTGTCTCTGCCTCCCCCCACCACTTTCCCTTGCCCCCTCCCTCCTTCCCTCCCTCAGCTCTTCCCCTTTGGTTTTGTCCATGAGTCCTTGCTATATGTTCCTTGACTTTACCCTTCCCTTCCTTTTCCCCGCCTCCCCCCCTCCTTCTCTCTTGTCTCTGTTGATTTCTTTTCCTTTTAGTGTTGCTGGTCTTATTTTCCTTGCATCTTTGTATTGTTGGTTAGGTTCCACTTATAGGTGAGATCATATGGTATTTGTCTTTCGCCCCCTGGCTTATTTTGCTTAGCATAATGCTCTCCAGTTCCATCCATGCTGTCGTGAAGTTTAGTAGTTCTTTTTTTCTTTCTGCTGTGTAGTATTCCATTGTGTATGTGTACCATAATTTTTTGATCCAATCATCTACTGATGGGCATTTAGGTTGCTCCCAACACTTGGCTACTATAAATTGTGCTGCTATGCACATTGGGGTGCATAGGTTCTTTTGTATTGGCGTTTTGGGATTCTTAGGGTATGGTCCCAGCAGGGGAATTACTGGATCAAAAGGCAGTTCCATTTTCAGCTTTTTGAGGAAATTCCACACTGCTTTCCACAGTGGCTGCACCAGTCTGCATTCCCACCAGCCGTGTACTAGGGTTCCCTTTTCTCTACAGCCTCGCCAGCACCTGTTGTTTGTTGATCTGTTTCTGATGGCCATTCTGACCGGTGTGAGGTCGTACCTCATGGTGGTTTTGATCTGCATTTCTCTGATGGCTAGTGATGCTGAGCATCTTTTCAAATGCCTCTGGGCCCTCTGTATCTCCTCCTTGGAAAAGCGTCTGCCCAGGTCCTTTGCCCATTTTTTGATTGGATCGTTTGTCATCTTGGAGTGGAGTCAAGTGAGTTCTTTATATATCTTGAAGATCAAACCTCTATCTGATGTATCATTAGCGAATATATTTTCCCATATGGTTGGCTCCCTTTTCATTTTGCTGCTGTTTTCTTTTGCTGTGCAGAAGCTTCTTATTTTGATGAGGTCCCACTTGTTTATTCTTTCCTTTATGTCCCTTGCTTTAGGAGATATATCAGTGAAAAAATTGCGTGGGATATCTGAGAGTTTCCTGCCAATGTTCTCCTCTAGGACTTCTATGGTGTTGTGACTTATATTTAAGTCTTTTATCCATCTTGAGTTTATTTTTGTGTATGGTGTCAGCTGATGATCCAATTTCAATTTTTAACTATCTTTTAGAAAATGAATATGACCTTCTTTTGAAAATACTACTTAAGACTGACCCAAAAGCTAAATGCCGTTAAAAATACAAAATTTTTAGTGTAAAATTAGCCCTGCCATTTTGGAGAAAGCAGTAGGTTGCTTGGTATTAGAAGAATAAGAACTTTTAAATAGTTTAATTTAAGGAACTAATAAAGATATCATACGTAATGCCCTGGAATTCATCATTAAAGAGTCATTCTTTTATAGTAAACAAATCCTTTATCTTGATTTCTTTTGAAAATGCTGTAGAGTTAACATGTTAAGTTATTGATTCTTGAGTATAAATTAGTTTTAGGATCAAAACTTCAAAGCTAAAGAGTATTGTGGAATTACAGTCTGACCTCTGCTATTATTCGACCCTGGAAAATCAAGGGTATTAAATCTTTAAAAAGGCGGTACAACTAGACAATTGAAGAAATTCAGGCAGAACCCAGACAACCTGTATCCCAGGGCAGTGGTCTTTCTACTATGGAAGATTGCTGTTCTGTACTGAATAAAGCTATACAGATGAGTATGGAGAAGGTACTGAAACAAAAGGAAAAGGGTTCATAGGAAAAGACAGTTCACCTTGGTTCACAGTTTTGACTGGACTGTGATAATCCCTGGATTTAGCTGCACTGCTTTTAGGTAGCTACCAGTGATGTGCCCCATGTGTCCCCTGACTTGTTCCTCCTCAAGTAACATTGATTGGAGAAAAGAATAAGACAGCTAGCCACAATGTCTGACCTAGCTTCAAACATGATACAGCATCAAAGCAGCTTGCTGTACCAGATGTTAAGAAAAATATATAGGGATTAATCAGAGAAGATGTGTTTCCATTACAAGATGAACACATTAAATATAGATATATGTAAAGAAACTAATACTGTAGGCTTTCTAACATGCTATTAGAAACGATCTCTGAAAGTATAGACTTAATACTGTAAGCTTTCTAAACAGACATTGTGAATATCTTAACCCTTTACCTAACTTACTCAAATTATCACAAGGTTTTTCAATTATATGCATTTCAATGATTCTGAATTACATTTTCTTATCATTCGATTAGGAATCTCTAGACTTTTGTCAGGCTGTGAACATCCTAAAATAATGTGCAAATTTCTGTATGATTTTGTATTTTTGAAGAGAGAGGGTTCTTTGTCTTCTGCAGATTCTCAACAGGGTTCTTTAATGAAAAAGAGGTTAAGAATAGTGCCTTAAATAAATAACATTATCTTGTTTGTCCAGGTAAGTGTAGGTCATTACTATCAAACTATTTTATTTGCATCTTTCATTAATAAGAAAATTCTACTATTCCTTATTAGCTTGAGAAATTTAGGCCCCTGATCCCATCAAACTATTCCTGTATTAAAACAGAACTGTTAAAGGAAACAAAAAAGAGCTAACTCATGTGGGAAACCTCACTGGTTAATTTAGTATTATAGAACATTATTGTTCTGATAGTCTATATTTTCTTGTTCTGTGACTTTTTAAAAAATAATATTTTGTGCATATTTAATGTCTTGGATGGTTTTTAAATTCTGCTAAAAATTCCTTTGATCTTTTTTTAAAGAAATTTTCTCACTCATCTTATAAAAAAAAAATTTAAAAAGATTCTGACACACTAAGGACTTTCCCCCATTAAAATTAGCATAATTCATGTGTATGAGTAAATTTGCATATCTAAAAGAATAAATTGATGATGGTATAGCAGTAGATAATAGAACTGAAGAAAACTTAGTTCAACACCTTTAGTTCAGCCGATGAAGACGCTGTGATACTGAGAGCATGCATTAGTGGCAGAGCAAGGCTTGTAACTTAGTTCCTGATTTCTCATGCAGTGTGTCTTCCATACCAGTAAGCTGTCTGAACTATATTACTTTTTCGTAAAATAGTTCTGTAGGTTCATTCTCTTAATGAATATTTGTCGAATAGTCACAGACCAGATGCTTGTCTAGGCAACAGACACAAAAATGAAAAGGGAGATAGTACAGTGTGGTTGACCTTCAAGAACACTACCTAAGTTCAAATTTTAGCTCTTCACTGTGACCATGGTTAGATTTCTTAACCTCTTTGTGCTTCATTTTTATTATCTATAAAAAGAAAATATTAATGCCTACCTCATAAGCTTGTTCAGAGGATAAAATAGAGTGCTTTATACAGTGCTTGAAACACACATGAGATGATGATGACAACAATGCTGGTAAAACAGCTTGGCTTCTTCCCTCAGGAAGTTCACAGCCTTAGGGGGGACCTAATTTAAATAATTTTTTGTCTTTATATTTTCTTTGCAATGGTTACTATTATATGAGATATCTTTCTCTTCAAAATGATTTTCAAAAAAAATTTAGTAATCCTTTTTTTAATCTACCAATAGATTACTAATGAAATTTCTAAATATATAAAAGATACATAGAAGCTACTTGATATTAACAAAGATTTGTTGCTTGACCAAACTTTAGTCAGGCTCCTAAACCGTCTCTTAGGCCCATCTATTCACTTCGTCCTTTAAAATCCAGTTTTCACAAGAACCCTGCTTAGTCAGTTTAACGAGAACTGCCCGCCCTCAGTATCTGAGGCTCCTCATCTTCCAACATCACCCAGGTGATCAAATCACCTTGGATTGTGTTTAGCAAGAATCTTGTTAGGTTGGTTTCTCCCTTACCCCTGATGTTTGCTCTTAGTAATTTTCCATCTGTTGATCACTACTCTACTCCTTGAATATAAATTCCCACTTGTCCCTGCTACATTGGGACTTGAGTTTAACCTTTCTCTCCCACTGCAGTGGTCCCTATTCTTATACTGATAACCCTCGTTTCTCCCTTGAATAAAGTCTTTCTTACCATGCTTTAACAAGTGTCATTGGATGTTTTGTCTTTAACAAAATATATGGATAAGTATTAAATCCAAAAATTATAGTGCTAATTATATAAGTATTGTTGGTTACTTCTTAGGTGTGAGCAAGTGTCGTTGGGAATCTTAATTTGCCTTTCCAGACCATTTATTACTTAGAAAAAAAATTACATATAAGAAGAGGTCTGTCCAGAAAAAGTCCAGCCATTTTAATGTAAAGAGAACAGTTTGCGCAACATCAGTGTAACCTGGTAGCCAAGGAGAGCGGACTGGAATACACATGTGTGAAGAATGACAACTTCACTGTACTAGTCAGTGAGGGCGGTGGATGCTGTGGTGAGCATGTGTACTGTGTTGCTGTCACATTCAAAATGACTGAGCAAGTAGAGCAACAAATCTGCATCAGATTTTGCATTAAGCTTGAACTTTCCTCTGCGGCAACTATTTGGATGACTCAGAAGTCTTTTGGGGACCATGCAATGAGTGCAGTACAAATAAGTATGGCACAAATGCTTCAAAGATGGTCAAGAATCTGTTAAAAGTGACCCACAGTCTGGAAGGTCTGCATCAAGCAGAACACCTGAGAATGTTGAACATGTACGGGCTGCAATCAGCAAAGATTGGTGACTGACAGTGTGAGAACTAGAAGCTGTTCTGGGGATTCCAAAAACTACTGTGTCCAAGATTTTGACACAGGATCTTGGCATGAAATGTGTCATGGCAAAATTTGTTCCACGGCTTCTGCTACCAGAGCAGAAGGAACATTATCCTGCAGTTGCCAATATTTTGATTAAAGCTGCTACCAGTGAACCAGATTTCCTCAAGAAGGACATAACCAGAGATGAATTGTGGGTCCACAGCTATGATTTGGTAACAAAGGCCCAGTTGTCCCAATGGAAGCCACCCGGTTCTCCAACCCCAGAAAAGACACCGGCAAAGTTACAGCAAGAATCAAGACCAGGTCAACTGTGTTTTTTGATTGGGAAGATGTTATCCATCATGAGTACACTCCTCCAGGCCAAACAATTAATAAGGAGTACTACCTCAATGTTCTTTGTTGGTTGAGAGATGCAATAGGGTGAAAACGGCCGCAGCTATGTGCAACTGGTGATTGGCAGCTTCATCACAACAACATGCCTGCTCATGCATCACGTCTTGTGCAGAGTTTTTTTGTGAAACATCAAATCACCCAGGTGACTCAGCCCCTCTAACAGCCCAGATTTGGTGCCCTGTGACTTCTGGCTTTCCTCAAAGCTAAAGTTACCTTTGAAAGGGAAGAGATTTCAGATTGTTGATGAAGATTGAAGAAAATAACAATGGGGCAGCTGATGGCGATTCCAGCAAAGGATTTTGCAGTGTTTTGAACAGTGGAAGAGAGATGCTGGGAGAATTATGTAAAGTCTCAAGGTGCCTACTTTGAGGGGGACTGAAGTGTCATTGTACTATCTACAATGTTTCTTGTATCTTCAATAAATGTCTCTCTTTTTCATAGTATGTGGATGGATACTTTCTGGACAAACCTGTAGTTGCATTTATTAGTTCTGATTCTCTCTTAATATTTGTTAGAGGTTGGTACTTTAATGAAGAATAGTTGTATCATTACATTAGGATTTGTTCCCTCGAGATTCTTTCTAAATCATACTGAATAATGGGACCTTGGATAAGTCATCAGATTCCTGGGAGCCCTATTTTGTAAATCTACCCTTTATTTCATTAAGTCTGGAGAAGTGCCATTAAGTAAATCTCTTGTTTAGATATTATGCTTGCAGGGTACCATTACAAGTAACATCATTAAAATCCTTACTTTGTCTAGATTATTTCCGCATATGTAACTTAAGTGTACTGTAACTTTAACTTCTTTAATACCTGAATGGTCTGAAGGATTAATGCACCATTCAGAGGAAATTAGTTTTACCCGTAAGGTATAGTCATACTGGGCCACACACACTTGCCAGTGGGCTCCCTTCCACCCTGGGTCTTGGCACTTGGTGTTCTCTCCATACATAAGTTAGCCACATAGCTTACAATTGTCAGCAAAGCCTCCCCTGGCCACTCTAGCTTCTAAGCTTTCCTTCCTCCAACATGTCTCTCATCTTCCCTTCCTGTTTCCTTTTCCTTTCTTTTTTTTAAAGATTTTATTTATTTATTTTTAGACAGAGAGGAAGGGAGGGAGAAAGAGAGGGAGAGAAATATCAGTGTGTGATTTCCTCTTATCTGCCCCCTACTGGGGACTTGACCTGCAACACAGGCATGTGCCCTGACTGGAATCGAACCTGTGACCCTTTGGTTCGCAGGCCAGCACTCAGTCCACTGAGCTACACCAGCCAGGGCTTCTTTTTCTTTATAGCATTTATCATTACCTGACATATTGTATATTTTGCTGATTTAGTTATTATTTTCTGTAGCCTTTCATTAGAGTATAAACTTCATTAGGGCAGTGTTTTTTGTCATTTTTGCTGTCTGCCCAGAATAGTGACTGACACATAATCAACACTCAGTAAATATTTATTGAATTAATCATTGAATGAGCCAGTTAGTCTTCTAGCATTTCTCTGAAGTTATAATAAATGGAGAAACTGGAGTAATGAGTTGCTAACACCTAGCCTAAGGAAACTTGTGTTTGGGATGAGCTCAGTGTCCTAAATTAGTTTCAATTTCTCTCCTTAGGGTATGCTTCTCATTAAAAAACCTATAACACTCTCTCCTCAAAGGTAACTATATGAGGTGTTAATTAACTCAATTATGGTAATCATTTCCTAATGTATACATATATAAAATCTTCAAGTTGTATATTTTAAATACATACAGTTTTATTTGTCAATTATACCTACATAAAGCTGGGGAAAAAATTAAAACCTACAACACTAATAGTTCATTTCTCGTATCTCTCAGTAAATACCTCTTCTGCTATAATTTGTTACGGATTTCCAAAACAGATCTTTGGATACTTTTTAAATAATCTTTATAATAATTTTAATTAATAATAAAGACTGTAGTTCTGAAATGTGTTTGTAAATTGTAGTTTGTATGGAAATTAAAAAATTAACAAGCCCTGTCCAGTAGCTCGGTTGGTTAGAGTGTAGTTCCAGTATGCCAAGGTTGTGGGTTCAATAATTGGCTAAGGCACATATAAGAAGCAACTAATGAATGCATAAACAAGTGGGACAATAAACTTATGTTTCTCTCTTCCTCTTCTCCCCAAAAAAAGTCAATAAATTTCTTTTTTAAAGAATGAGAAAGTTGATTAGATAATTTAATAAGGATGTAAAAGAAGTAATGGTTTAGGTACATTTGAAGTTTTATTTTGATAATTTTCTAGTATTTGAACTATAATTTAAAAAATAAAGTAAAATAAAAATAAAATCTAGTATTTAAACTATGAAGTGTAAAATGTCAAAGGTACTTATCTGGCTATTAATTTTAGGGACCTTGTCATTTGGTCAATGTGGGTTTCAGGATAATCAAAGCATACTTAACAGAAAAAAAAAACAACTAATATTTCAGTTTTGTTTATAAGATAGGAAATTGAAAAATTACTGTACTTTTTTTTTCATTTGTGAGAGCTAAATCACTTTCATTTGTATTTGTAGGCAAAATCATCAACATTACAAACTAGTAATCAGCCTTCCTCACAGGTAAGAAATCTTCTTTAAATCTAAGTATCAGGGTTTCAAATAAGTTACAATCAGTTTAGATTATATGAGGCCCTTATGGAATTCCAATTGAATTCTACCCTTAAGAACTTTGAAGTTAAAAGGATATTTATTTTGTATTTATTTAAGTCTCAAGTACTCCTGAAAGTCTGTTTACTAAACTATGCTCTGAAATACACATTATCTCTGTCTCTCTTTAACAGGAGTTTTATTATTAGTTATATATTTTTAAATTATGAATTGTTTTTAAGTTTATACATACAATATGTAATAGATTGGTGACTAGCCTATTTTATTTTCTTAGAAATCATCTTGGTGGCCCTTCGAGATGTCTCCTGGTGCATTAACCTTTGCTATCATATGGCCTTTTATTGCCCAGTGGTTGGTGTATTTATATTATCAAAGAAAGAGAAGGTAATATTATAGTTTTATAATTCAAGTGGTGTATACACTCTTAAAATAGACACAGCGTTTAGCTGCAGGTAAAAGGACATAGGTCCAGCCCTAACCAGTGTGGCTCAGTTGGTTGGTTGGGTGTCATCCCACAAAGCTAAATATTGCCAGTTTGATTCCCAGTCAGGGCACATGCCTGGGTTGTGGATACAGTTCCCGGTCATGGCTCATGCAGAGACAACCCATCAATGTTTCTTTCCCTCTCTATCTCCCTCCCTTCCCCAGTCTCTAAAAAAATAAATGAATAAATAAAATCTTTAAAAAAGGATAGGTCAATTTCATAGATAAATTGTCATGCTGAAAATTCTATATTGATCCCGAGACTGAAATTACCTTGGAAATGATATCTGGTGGGTTTTTAGTTTTTTGTTAGACTTAAAATTTTTTCACTTGAGAGCATCTGCTAGTTTTTCTCCCCTTCATTTAAGCAACAATAAGAAAATTATTATAGACTTAGTTTTATGGCTTATGAAGAAACAATGTTCTTAAAGTCTGATGTTTATTTTGGGCTCTTTGCTAATAAAAAGGACAATGGCTATGCCCTGGCTGGTGTGGCTCAGTGGATTAAGTGCTGGTCTGTGAACCTAAGGGTCTCTGGTTTGACTACCAGTCAAGGCATATGCCTGGGTTGTGTGCTAGGTCCCCAGTTGGGTGTGTGCAAGAGGCAACTGATTGATGTATCTCACTCAATGATGTTTTTCTCCCTCTCTTCCCTTCTCTCTAAAAATAAGTCATTATTTTTTAAAAGAACAATGGCTAGGTAAAAATAAATAAATAATGTGTGTGTGCTCTAATGTCTTTGTAGACATTGCCATTTCAGAAAATGTCCAGTTTGATAGTTGATTATCTCTAGAAATAGGAATTATTCTTTTTTGAGGGCCAGAAAGCCTAAAGTTTGGGATGATAGGAGGTAACTCAAATAAATCTGAGAATAATAGATTACAATCCTTGCAAGTGCTCTGAGATTGTTTCCGTTAAGAATACCTGAAGCCAAAACTGTTGAGTTTAAGAAAATTTTTAAAGCACTTTTTTGGGCTTTAAACTATGTAAACTAAGCTACTTTCCAGGGGTGGGCCCATAGACGATTGTTTACCTCACTGATGGATGGCCTCATTGATTATGTTTTTGTACTTTGTTACCGTTTCTCATTAAGTGACAACAGGTGGGGAAAAGAAACAGGGTATTTGATAAGGTTTTAAGTGCTCTCTTAAATATGTGCAGTAGAAACACATTTTTATAAATCTGTAGTTTTGAATAATAACAGGTGTATATTGTTCCTCTACTCAAGAACCCAAGTTTCTAATTCTTACATTTGATAGCAAAGCAAAAACCAAGCATTTGCTCTTCTCTAATGTAGAAGAGATTATCAGCACACTAGTGTAAATGCTCCAATTATAATATTTTATAGTTGGGAGACTGAAATGCATTTGATTTTGGGTGAACTGTTTCAGTCTTCCTTGTTTTCTGCTTTATGTTCATAAATGAACTAAGTTTTTTGATACATTAATGTCTTGGAATATACCTGCTCACTTGCAAAAACTTCAGTAGGATTTCAGAAATATCATTTGCTTTCTCAATATTATTTACTCCTTTCCTGGTCCTCTTGTGTATGTGTCATTTCAGCTGTTGAGATACAGACCTTATTTAAAATTCTTTCTTTTCTTCTGTCACACATTTTACATTTCTTCTACAATAGTTGAGTTTAGTGCTGCATAACATTTTAAATTCTGATTTCTCTGATAATAGGGAAAAAAACCAAAGCTTTTTTCAACAGGAAATAAAATAACATGTAGTAATTTAAGCGAGAGGGAATAGTGGCACTAAAGCCATATGTATACAAACTTTGCAATGCATTTCAGTGTTCCCTTTTATGTTTCATGTGTAGAACGTGGGGAATTGGAGGGTAGAGAAATTGGCATAAGACAAAACCTAAAGTTTAACTTTGGTTAATAATTTATGCCCAAGGTTGAAGTACCTTGTCACTTTATTAAAAACTGAATAAACAGCGCTGGCTGGGTGACTCAGTTTGTTGTCCCATACACCAAAGGGTTGTGGGTTTCATTCCTGGTCAGGGCACATACCTAAGTTATGGTCCCTAGTCAGGGTGTGTACATGATGCAACTGGTCGATGTTTCTCCCTCACATCAATATTTTTCTCTTTCTCTCTCTCCTTCCTTTCTCTCTAAAATAAATAATAATGATGATGATGATGATGATGATGATGATAATGATGATGGCATATCCTCTGGCAAGGGTTAAAAAAAAGGACTGGAAAAACAAACTATACTTTCCTTCAGCAGTCATCCAGAACAGCAGTTATTCTAAAATTATTTATTTATTTTATTTAAAATAATGTTTCCTTTTTAGAGCAAGGGGAAGGGAGGGAGAAAGTGAGGGAAAGAAACATCTGTGTGGGAGAGAAACATCAATCCCCACCCAACCAACTGATCCCGCTGGTCAGGATCTAAAATTACTATTTTTTAACTGTTCCTTAACTTATAGAAATATATACCATTTTTCTTTATATCTCTTTCTGTTGTTTACAGATGTCTCTGAATGGAGAAATTCTTTCCTATTTTTAATTTTCTGATGTTATTATTGCATCATTATCAAGTTTTTCACTCTATGTTATGTGTTTAGTTCTTCCAAATTGCAAGTTTTTTAGCACTGTACTACTGCGTTTGGATGAGATACAGTGTTTTTATGTATTGTTTGCTTATATATGTAACAGATGAACTGGGGTTAGAGACAAGAGTGGTGTTTAATTGGGAGATAAGTTTCAGTTTTGAGGGGATTAGGCAGGATTTAATCTGGCAGGGTTTAACAGTTTTTAATCCAATGTTATAAGAAAAAGATTAGAGAGCAATGTGTATGGTTTGGAGGACATAGGTCTATTTTAGAGGTGAAGAGAAAGATCTAAAAGTCCAGTTAGGATGGGGAAAAGTGTGGGAAAGAGAGAATTTGCCCTACTATCCTGTACAGGACTATGCTGTACCTCATCCCCTAGTACAGTGTGTGGATGTAGTAGGCTTTCAGTAAATAATGTGCTGAATGCATGGCTGAATACCCGCTGTTGGCAGGGTGGCAAACTGAAGTACCATGACATGGAAAAGCTTTCATTTCATCTAATAAGTATGCATCTGGACCCAAACAGACACACTGAGATAGTCCTTTACCTATGTAACATAAGTGGCTATCTGTGGTAAGCTTCAAAAAATTTTTGTTGACATTAAAAGTAATACTTAAGGTCTACCGCTTGATTTTTTTTTCCAGTACAGAAGAATGTAAATTTAAAAGTAAAAGATTTCTCATATCGCTCTACAGTGGATAAAAAAACATTCTTTTTATATGTGAATGAAGTACAACATCTGCAGAGGTGTTCAAAAATAGGCCCTGAACAGTCGCCTATAGTGCCACCTCTCCCCAGCTACCTAACCTTATGGTACTGCTATTAAAATTAGCCATGTGTTAAATACGACAGTAGACCTGGTAAGGCAAAAAGACTGCTCTTTTTTTAAAAAAAAAAAATTGATTTGACAGAGCGGGAGGAAGGGAGAGAGCGGGGAGAGAAACAGAAACATCCATTTGTTGGTCTGCTTATTTATGCGTTCATTGGTTGATTTTTGTATGTGCTCTGACTGGGGATCAAACCTGCAACTTTGGCAGATCAGGACGACGCTCTGACCAACTGAGCTACCCAGCCAGGGCCAAAAGGCTATTCTTTACGTATTACTTTTTATGATTACTTTTCTTTATCAGTCTGCCTAGATTAATAACTTTGCTGTCATATAGTTTCCTTGGAAATACCATGCTTTTTGTAGAGAGGTAATCATTAAAACCTGGCAGAGAGGATCTCAGGAGAAACATATTACCAGTGGAGCCCGGGGTAGATGGTACTGGCCCAAAAAGGCAGGCCCACACTTTTGAGGGAAAAGAATCTCAGCAGTACAGCCAGAGTAGAGTTCAGCAGACTAGGGCAAAGGCAGAATTTTATTCCTATCTTCTTATTTGTTGTTTTCTGTAATTTTTATTTCTTTATCACAACATACTCTACATTTTGCAAGTTAATTTTTTAAAAAAGGAGAGATCAATCTTATTAAGAGGCTGAAAAACATTCTAAAGTTCTGAAAACAGTGATTTATGTCTATACTAACTATTGAGCTGGCCAAAAAGTCCTATAGTTTTTTTTCTGTAACATAAAAGACACATTTTTCATTTTCACCAATAACTATTGATTTGGATATTTTGAGTATGTTGGCTATCTCCTGCGTGGTATAACTTTGATTGTTCTCAATTAATGTCTTGATTTGATCGCTATCAACATCAACTGGTCTACCCGACAGTAGAGCATCATCCAATGAGAAATCTCCAGCACAAAACTTCACAACCAGTTAGTTTTGACACATTCGATCAGTCACAGCACCTTCTCCATATACTGCACAAATCTTGTTTTTTGGCATTTAGGTTGCGTTTTTACCTTTCTTGAAATAATAGAGCATAATAGGCTGAAAATGTTGTGTATCTTCTTCCATCTTCAATATTAAAATGGCTACACAAAAATTCACTAATTTTGATTTTTTTTTAAATGCACACTATTGCAGGTGTTGCAATACAATGTAACAAAATTTTTTCAGACTTAGTTAAAGACAACTAAGCATTAATAGAGCCATCTTACAGAAAAAAAACAAACGATTTTTTTGGCCAACCCAATAGTTCCCCCATTGTAATAGAATAATGTAGAAGATTAGCATTCTTAGACCCAAGTTGTATAACTCTGCAAAGGACTTTGCATAGTTATCTGCATCACATGGGTTCTTGATTAATGTTGCTTACTGTTCAGGCACCTTCTAGTAATGTTTCTGCTAAAACCTACCCAGGCAATCAGTCTTTAGAACCACCTGCAGTTTTATTCCTCCAGGGGCCTTTTTTTCTTTCTTTTTTTAAACTTTATTTTCTTTCTTTTTCTTTCTTTCTTTCTTTCTTTCTTTCTTTCTTTCTTTCTTTCTTTCTTTCTTTCTTTCTTTCTTTCTTTCTTTTTCTTTTCTTTCTTCCTTTCTTTTCTTTTCTTTTCTTTTCTTTTCTTTTCTTTTCTTTTCTTTTCTTTTCTTTTCTTTCTTTTGTTCGAATACATTTGTTTCCACCTTCCCACCACCATTTTCCTCTGCCCCCCTTCCACACCTCCCTCCCTCAGTCCTTCCCCACTTTGCCTTTGTCCATGGGTCCTTGTTATATGTTCCTTGATTTGACCCTTCCCTTCCCTTTACCCACCCACCTCTCCCTCCTTTCCTCTTGACTCTGTTGGTTTCTTTTCCTTTCAGTATTGCTGGTCTTATTTTCTTTGCTTATTTGTTTTGTTAGTTAGGTTCCACTTATAGGTGAGATCATATGGTATTTGTCTTTCGCCCCCTGGCTTATTTCGCTTAGCATAATGCTCTCCAGTTCCATCCATACTGTCGCGAAGGGTAGGAGTTCTTTTTTTCTTTCTGCTGTGTAGTGTTCCATTGTGTAAATGTACCATAGTTTTTTGATCCACTTATCTACTGATGGGCATTTAGGTTGCTCCCAACACTTGGCTATTGTAAATTGTGCTGCTATGCACATTGGGGTGCATAGGTTCTTTTGAATTGGCATTTTGGGATTCTTAGGGTATAGTCCCAGCAGGGGAATCACTGGGTCAAAAGGCAGTTCCATTTTCAGCTTTTTGAGGAAATTCCACACTGCTTTCCACAGTGGCTGCACCAGTCTGCATTCCCACCAACAGTGCACTAGGGTTCCCTTTTCTCCACAGCCTACTACAGATGTTCCCATTTTGCTCTCCTTTGCCCACCTCCACCCAGTTTCTGCCCCCCTTCCCTCTGGCTACCACCACACTATTGTCTGTGTCTGTGGGGCATGCATGTGTGTTCTTTGGTTAATCGCTTCACCTTCTTTCATCCAGTCCCTTCTCCCCACTTTCCTCTGACAGCTGTCAGTCTGCTCCATGTGTCCATGCCTCTGTTTTTATTCTGTTTGCCAGTTTATTTTGTTCATTAGATTTCACATATAAGTGAGATCATATGGTATAAGCCATGAGTTATGTGAAGTTGATCTGATTATTTAAAATGTCACTCCTGCCAAGGAGATGTACCTAACTAGATTGCTACACAGGATAAAGAATGATCCCATTATTTAAGATATCACTACTATGAAGGGGGTTGCCTAAGAGTATTTTCAAAGAGAAGAGGAATAAATCTGCACTGAGCCAGTTAGCCAGTTGGGCATCTTGAGTGCTGGCGAGGGTATAATTTTACAGCTGGGGGAACCTTTCCCAGAACTCAGATCACATGTGATTGTTGTGTCTTGTGCTAACAAGCCCACCCTTCTCTGATAGTTCATCACTCTATCATTAAAACCATCACATTATGCATATCTGAATTGTTGGGGCTTATATGTCTCCCCACCCCCCTCAACTAAACCAAGAGCTCTTTTCAGGACTGAGAGCCTGCCTCATTTATGTTTAAATTCCCAGTACATGCACAGTGTCTGGAAAGTATCAGATGCTTAGTATATGTTGATTAAATGAATAGTTCAGATCTGGCTGGTGTGGTTCAGTGGGTTGAGTGCCAGCCTGGAAACTGAAAGGTCACTGATTCAGTTCCTGGTCAGGGCACATGCCTGAGTTGCGGTCCATATCCCCAGCTGGAGGTGTGTGACAGGCAACCAATCCGTGTTTCTCTCACACTTTGATGTTTCTCTCCCTCTTTCTCTTCCTTCTCTCTCTAAAATATAAATAAAATTGTTTTAAAAAGTCCAGATTGTACATGTATCAGTCTTTTCTAGTTTTATTAAGATTTTTATTTCACAGTTTTTCCATTCTGATAAAATTATGAAATAGTTTTCAAAAATCTGAATTGTGTAATAGCCAACTGGAAAAGGATGAGAATTTAGAAGTTATGAAGGAAGAGTGTACATTTAAATTATTTATTGAAAACTATTTTGATAATGTCAGCACTTGCAATTAGATCTTTCCTATGGAACTATCAGTGACATGGGATTTCCTCAGGATCATTTGTAATTTTATGGCATTATTTTGAATTTGAATGTTATGATTATGTTAGCAAATTCTTTGGCATGGGGTGTGTTTCATATTCAGGTTGCATTTCCATTCATAGGAAATTGGTTTTTACTTTCTTTTTAAAGAAAACTGAACTGAAGAAAATGGTATTTTACTCAAGAAGACTACTGGGCCTGGATGACTGCGGAATGGAATGGATTGTGGAGCTCACAAGAAAATCCTAGTTTGTGATGATTACATTTCTTTTTGTTGTCCAACAGTTTGGTTTGTGTACATATATACATATATATTTTGCACTACACAAATGATAACATTTTAAGGACTAATATTACTGATACTTGAATAATCAATCTCAACTAGGTTGTAAGTAGCATACATAGATTCCCCCTACCCTTGAACTTGAAGGACATTAAATTACTAATTATTGTTTGGTAACTTGTTTACCTGATTATCTCCCATAGAGAAGTATAAGCTGCTTAGATACAGTTGTGATAATGAGATCAGATTTATAACTGGGTATTTTTCATTTTCTAAATTAAATATGAAAAAACATACAAACCAGGAGTGAATGTCAAGTGAGGTTAAATTGACTTTATATCTTAGTCACTGAATTACCATGCCAAGCAGTAGAAAACTTCCATAATCTTCATTGGGTGTTCACAGTTCTGACTTTAGTGTTCAAACGTTATTATAAACTAGAGCTCTATATACAAGGCTTAGTTTTTACAAGTGAGTCACAGACTAGACATAACCTGCTGATGGAAAAGATGAAGAATGGGCTTAAACTAGGCTTGAATGTTTATTCTGAGTCTGGAGATTATTAATAAGATTTTTATTCAATCCTATACATTTATCGCTTTGTAATCATTTGTCTTTAACTGAGGATATCTTGTTTCTGCTTCATCGGGTGCTTTGAAATACAAAATGAAAAAATTACGCTGTTTTTACTAAGGTCAAAAAGGACACACATGAAAATTACTTTTCTGCAACTGGTAAACTACACAGACTGGAACTCTTAACCTCTTAGTGCCTCAGATTTTCCTTCGGGGTATAATATTTGAGAAATACCTATTTCACAGGGATACTAACAGGAGTTGCAAGCTAGCAGGATATGTGCTTCCTTTTGAATAAAGCATACCCACCTAATGTAAATTTAAGTTTCTTTCCCACACCTCCCACATTTAAACTAAAAGGAAGACTGTAATTTAGATTCTTGAAGGCTTTGTTTGGAATTATTTTTCCTGTGTACCTGCTCATTTAGGTGTACTTTCTACTTTAAAAATAACTCTGATTCAAAGGCTTAGTAACAAGTATTTTAAGCATTCTTGGTATGTATGACATTCGGTTTAGCATCATGTGTTCAGAGTGTTTGCAATAAGAGAGAGAGTAATCTGTCTCTTGTATGGAGGGTGGTTCTTCATTTGCCTGCTGAAAAAAAGTATAAGAAACAATTTGATTTTCCCAAGACTCTTTTTTCCATATTTTTTTCTTTCATGTAACTTGATCTTTTAAATTTTTAATCTCATCTTAATTAAAATGTATCTAGAGGGATCTACTAAAATTGGTTTTTAAAAACTCCTCCATTTAGGGAAAAAAATAAAGTTTAGACTTGTGGATCAGACATTATTTTCAAAAATTAGATTATCAATATGGTGTCAAAAAAGGGTGGCTTTTCTCTTAGTATATAAAGAAATAAAATGCAAATTAAGAATGTAAGCGGTTAAATAAAAAATAAAAAGAATGTAAGCAGTTGTGATTCATTATGAGCAATTGGCGCGTACTAACTCTGATGGTTAACTCTTTGTATCCAATTCCAAAGTCTTATTTTATAGTTTGAAAAGCACTTTGCACACAGTTCTTGTATATACAAATAAAGATGTAATTATAGGATATAGTGTTATGGTTTTGTTTAACATAAACCTCATTTAAAATTTTAAATTGACAACTATGGTATTTTTTTTAATCTATACTTCTTTTCAATTTCTTTATTGTAAACCTAAGTTAAAAATAAAAGGTTAATGAGAAATGATATGGTTTTTATTATTTGTTACTGTTAGAATTGCATCGATTATATGTAATAAAGATTAAATGAGAATAGTAGAAATTCGTAGAAAGGAATCATACTCTTTCAAAATAAAGCCATGCTAGTACATGTAATTTTATAAAAATCAGAAATTGGGATAAAGATTAACTCAGTCATTTAGTTGAGAATGTTATTGCTCCAGTCAGAAAATCTGTTTCAATTCTTATGCCATATAGACAACTTCCCACAGCCACTCAATGCATCCTTAATCAGAGGTCTTAGATACATACAGGTGTTTGTAGGTGGAAAATGGTGACAGGGTTTGTCTTTTTAATACAAATATATAACGTACACAGTAATAAAAGTGATGTTAGCTATTCGTACTATTTAAGATATTAGTATTCTCCTACATGTAATAGAAACCTAACTATGTAGCTTGACCAAATAAGATTTGTATTTTTTCCTCATATATAAGGAGTCTGAAGGTAGGAAGTCTAGGGCTGGTAGGTGCTTCCACAATGCCACGAGATTCCATCTGTCTTTCTGTTCTACCATCTTAAGCATGGGGCTTTTGTGTTTAGTCTTGCTAGATGGCTGCTGTGTAGCTTGGTCTAAGGTCTACATTACAGGCAGGCAAAGATCCCTATCAGGGAACTCTCAGGGAACTGTAACTTTCTTGGAAGTCTCACACAGGACACTCCTCCCATCTCATTGGGTCTATCTTTGTCTCTAAAAATATTACTTAAAGAATATAATTAGGTCCTACCTGCATAGCTCAGTTGGTTACAGTGTCCTGATACGCCAACGTTATAGGTTCGATCTCTGGCCAGAGGATATGCAAGAAGCAACTAATGAATGCATAAGTAAGTGGAACAACAATTGATGTTTCTCTCCCTCTCCCTTCCTCTCTCTAAAATCGATGTTTCTCTGTCTCTATGAATAACTCAATTTTTTTTTTAAATTAAGAGTAGCCCTGACCAATGTGGCTCAGTTGGTTAGAGCATTGTCCCATAACCAAAAAGCTGGAGCATCACCCCATAACTGAAAGGCTGCAGGTTCGATCCTGGTCCAGATGCATGTAAGAGATCGATGCTTCTCTCTTGCATCAATGTTTCTCTCCTTTCCTCTATAAAAGCAATGTAAAAATGTACTCCAGTGAAGGTAAAAAACATACTGAAAATAAAGAAAAATTTATAAATTTAATTTTGCCCATACATGGTAGGAAAAGCCATGTTCTTTGGTTTTCAATGCCGCCTTTTTCTCTTCTTTCTCGGTTCCCCCCACCCCCGCCACCTCCCCTGCCCCCGCTTCTCAACCCTTGCTTTCTCACTGAGTTTCTCTCCATTAATCTTTCTTCCCAGTTGTACCACATTTCACAAAGCTGGAAAATGATAAATGCCCTTTTCCTTCTTAAAAACAAGAAATCTTTTAAATATATACATAATACAGGTGAGGGTGTAGCTATTGAGTTTTGGGATTTTTTTTTCTGCCTAGCACCCTTTCCTCCTGATCAGAGCACCACTCTTTGTCCCTTCCTCCCTTTGGAGAGTTTTCCTGCGCTACTCCAATCAGGTGATTCCGGGGAGGCTGCCAAAGGGAACACCCAGCTACGCCCATCCCTGCCCTGCCCCAGGGAATAGTAATAGGCCTGTGACCCAAACCCAGCCAGTGTATATCCCATTGACTGACCACAGGGAGGGTCCTTGGGGTGAGCATGTGACCGTCAGTGAGGCAATCGGAGTTATTTTTTGAGTTCATTTCTTAAAGCTGAGAGCATTTCCTTTTCCAAATTGTCAGTTGGAATCATACAGTATGTAGCTTTCCAGATTGGCTCCTTTCACTTAGTAATGTGCATTTAAGGTTTCTCCTTATAATTTCATGGCTTTATAGCTCATCTCTCTCTATTTTTTATGCCTGTGTTTCAGTAAAACTTTATTTACAAAACAGGCAGGGGGCCAGGTTTGGCCCATGTCATATTGTTGGCTGACTTCTGAGTTAAACAGCTCATTTCTTTTAGCACTGAATAATGTTTCATTGTATATTTGTACCACAGTTCATTTATCCATTCACCTATTGAAGGCCATCTTGGTTGCTTCCAAATTTTAGCGATTAGGAAATAAAGCTGCTATAAATGTCTGTGTGTAGATTTTTCTGTGGTCAGGTTTTCAGCTCATTTGGGTAAATAGTGAAGAGTGCAATTTCTGGATCCATATAGTAAAGCTATTTTTAGTTTTGTAAGAAACAATCTTGCAAAGTGGCTATACTATGTTGTTTTCCCACCAGCAGCGAATGAGAGTTCTTGTTGCTCCACATCTTTTGTCAGCATTTGGTGTCAATATTTTGGATTTTAGCCGTTCTGTAGGTGTGCGGTGGTATCTGATTGTTGCATTCTTTCTTTTTGAATGACAGCCTGTTATTTTATTACCCGAGAGATTCTGGGGCCATATATCCTGCCACTTGGAGGAATCTTAGATGATAAGACCAACAACATCTAGACCTAGGAACTTAGACAAGTCCGAAACAATGAGTTCAAGTCCCTTAATCCATTTAACTCTGAATCATTACCCCTTTCTTTATGCATTTTGTTTATGTGGGTTAAGAAATTTCCATTTTTTTAATTGATTTTAGAGAGAGGAAGGAAGAGAGATCGATTAGTTGTTCCACTTATTTATGCATTCATTCGTAGTTTCTTGTATGTACCCTGACTGGAGATCTAACCCACAACCTTGGTGTTTTGGGATGATGCTCTAACCAACTGTGTACAAGGCCAACACAAGAAATTTCCATTTTTACTTAAAGTAGTTTAAGTTAGGTTTTTGATACTTGTAACCAGAGTCCTGACTAGTATAGGTAGCTCCTGACTCTCAGAACTGAGTACAACTCTGGAGCAGACTGTCTAGGTTCGAATTCTCTGCAATCAAGGGAAAGTCCCTTTTTGTTTAAACTTCCTCATCTATAAAATTTGAATAATATATCATAGGGTTAATACATGTAAAATGCATAGAGCAGTGCTCAAGATGCAGTAAGTACTTTGTGACTGATAGCTATTGTGATGGTAACAATAATAATTGTCATTATTTCACTATCAGTACTTTTACAGAAGCAGGGCAAGAAGACATAAAAATCCAAATCCCTTTTTATAGGCATAGACACCAGAAGCACTGGTGCAAAGGTACAGATATTTTTTTAAACAAGAGAGCCAGTCTCTTCCACTCATCCTCTGGGTACTCGCCCTGTCCTCAAGGACTTTGCCACATTTTTCTTCCCCAGAGGCGACTGCTTCCATCACTTTTGGCTCAGTGTCTTGGTACTGTCCTCTTCAAATAATTCGAGTATGTTTGAACTGCTGCTTTTGATAGTTCTGTCTTAGGCATTATTTATTTACTTCTCTTTATCAGAATGGAAGGTGTCATTCTTTTTGCTTCCTTGACAGTCACTGCTCATGTGTATGTATCCTTTTCATGTTCCCACCTTTGAAAGGCAGTTTGTCAAAAACTGTGGAGGGTCTAAGATTTTAGTCTACATTCAAGCTAACAGGTTTGCCTGCCACAGGTTATGGGTGCCAGTAGAAGGAGGGAGAGTTTGTTACACATGACAACATTAGCAGCGAGGGTATCTGCATTTTTTTTACTGGTGTTCCAATACCCAGTGCCCACAGGGTGATGCCAAGAAGCCAGATGACACCTGCACATATGTTACAGGAGAGGAACCTCGACTTTCGGAACCTGAATCTTTTATAATGGGGAGTAAGCAGGACTAAACTTTATTCCAGAGAGAGACCTTATCTATATTATATTAGTAAGTATCCTGGGTTTATGCAAAAGGAGATTCCATCACTACCTCCCAAGGCTCTTCACTCTATAAGCATCCTTGAAAAGATGGTCCAGAATGAAAAGCAGTCAGTGCCTAACTCACAGGACATGCAGAAATGCAAGAGAGCAATGAAGAATTATTTCCTCACACATTAATATTATAATTATGGTTAGATCATTACTCAGGGTTCATATTGTTAAGGCCGTGAAAAGATCCTCACAGCTGAGCAATTTATTAACCTATGCTCATTTTCCCTTTACTGCACAGCTTTTTATTGTTGCTGGAGTTAACTGTCTTCCCTCCGCCCCCACTTGCTAGTGTTTTTCTTTTCCCTTATCAATACTTCAATCTTTGAGTCTTCCCCAGTTGTCTATATAACCTATCAAGACATTCAGATACACCAGATACGCTACCAATTTTATTGATATTCTATCAATTTCATATGACTGACAGTCTCCTGGGGACTTTTGGTCTGCTCTGAACTTGCTGCCCCCTATGCCTGGCACACAGCTATTATCCTGGCTTCAACCTTGACCATCATGCTTGGGGCTTCTCTTTAACTCCCTCCCCTGTCAGACAGCCTGCTTCCCTTATTCCATGGATTCTTCCTTTAGTTCACTCTTTTATTTTGAGGGAGCATGATTTCCACTGTCTTTCGGAGTAAGGGTGCACAGGAGGGAAGAATTTAGGGACTTTGCATGTGTAAAAATGTCTTTTTCTTTCAGAAATTTGAAGATGTTGCTCTGTTGCCTCTTTGTTTGCAGTTGTTAACTGTTAGGAAGTTTGAAGACATGTCCTATACTTCTTTCTAAAAACTTAATTGTGTAGAAAAAACAATCTTCCTCCTGTGTTTTCCCTGTATTCTTAAACTACTCACACTCACGCTTCAGACAACTGTGTGGATTTTTCCTTACATCAATAAGGAATTCTGTGACATCGGCTGGGTGTTCTAGAATTTAAATCAATTCTGACACTACCTGCAGATAAGCCTCAGATCCCCCAGGCTGAGGGCTCAGTCCCACAGGATTGCTCTCACCTGACTTCAGATACCAATCGCAAGTCCAGATTCTCACCTGTGCTTTTGACCAATAGGCTACAAATTGGAGGTT